CCACGTAATGCATGTAATATGAAGAATCAAATTAAACCTTATCCTAAAAAACTTTGCGAAAGTCTTAGGCAACTATGAGAATGAGATAAATTAGGTGAAATAAGGATAAACCTACAAACATATTTCGTTTGTCATTTTTGTATATTAATATTTAGTAATAGGCATACGCGTACAATATCGGACTGATTAAAACGAAACGTACCTAGCGTTTGGAACCGCCACCCGGTATGCTACGACCTAGTTTCGACGGTGCGTGGACAACGAGGTGTTGAATCATTACAATCTCTTTGGCAAAGCATACATAATATTGCATGCATATAATGTGAAGATATAATATATTACATATCAATAAAATTATAAACGTTCATAATAACCACATGTCTCCGACAGACCTTCACCATCATTTTTAACATGTAGGTATTTTTATGCAACGAGATAACTTTGGTATTTGAGTACGGTGAATATTTACGCTATGCATTTTTACAGGAGTCAGGAGAAGCCGCGGGCAAAGGCTTAGTATCTATAATTATATATAACTAGCGACTCACCCTCGCTTTGCTCGGGTTCGTCGCTAGGTACGTTTTAAATAGATATAAATAGTTATTAGCCAGCGTGAGCCACGTACATTTTAATTTTTCTTCGTTAATTTTTCTGATGTTTATTAGTTATTATCCTATTCCGCATCTTAGTGCGAAGTAGTTTCTCTTAAGAAATCAAAAAAGTCAAATATCATAAAAATTGGTCCAGCCGTTCTTGAGATATAAATGTTGTAACTAACACGACTTTGTTTTATACCTATAGGTATATATTTACGAGTACCTTATTTTATATTTTTTCTCTGTATTAAAACTTTCCGTGTACCTTAAGGAACATAAGAAAAAATATTAGCTGAATTGGTCGAGCCGTTCTCGAGTTTTGCGCATAACAACATTCATTTTTATTTATATTTTTTAAGTTTTAAAATTAATGTATATGTTAGTTATTAATGTATATGTATATATATGTTATGGGCCTCTGTTTAAATACTTAAGATCTTTTTGTAAATATTGCCTGAAATAAATGATTAAATAAAAGTATAGATATAGATTAGTTTCCATCAAGAACTACCTAACATTTATTTCCTCCAAAATTATAAAACATTACTTAATTCTAGTTACCTAATGTCTTGATTGCTTAATCAACACGAAGCATTAAAATACTTAATGTTGTTTATTACTCATATAAATAGCTTTTATTGGAAATCGTTTGTCACACTTTAAGTACGAAACTGATAAAAAAATTTACAGGACAATATATTATATGTACTTACCTAAATTTTAATTTATCAGGGGTAAACCCCACATTACAGGTACATATAAAATAGCGCTATTATAAAATAACAGGTAAAAAGATTTAATTATATTATTACATTATCTATACAGATAAATAAAATTGAAGTGTCAGTTTGTAATGTCGATACAAAAGCTTTTTATTAAATGCATATAATTAACTGCCTCGGTGGTGTAGTGGTTAGCATGTACTGCTGCACATCCGGAGACCCTGGGTTCGAATCCCGGGTTGGGTAAAGTTAAGTCCTTCTGGTTAGTAAGCCTCAGTAACAGTCCGGAGTTGGAAGTTGGTGTTTCACGCCCGTGCCTCGGAGAGCACGTAAAGCGTAGTTGTTCCACCAGAGTATGAGAATGACAAGAATATAGAGTGCACTTGTGTCTGTGCGCACACGCAAGGGCTCATTTAGTTCCAAGCTTTTTATTTAATTTAAACAAAGTATTGAATTGAAAGCTCTATAGTTTTATTTGTACACATAAATAATATCCAATAAAACGGAACAACCATAACATTAACAAGATAAAATAACCTATCACACTGAAAACATATTATACACATAATCTTTTTTTGCAACTCCATTCATTGCAAAGTTACGTCACTTACAAGAAATAAGAATATAATTCTGTTGAACACCTGTTTGCTCTGAATGTAAACAACAATTTGTATATCGTGATTCACCAGTGCCTTCGCCAAGCCTCCTGCTTCATGCATATCTAATAATACGGCTGATCTCACACTATTTAAACCTAAAACTAGATTGGCAGCTAAAAATTACTCTTAATATTTATACTTTTTATATGTTAACATTGTCCAATTTATGTATCACTAGCATTGCCCGCGGCTCCGCCCGCGTTCAGATGACCAAAAACCAAATTCTTAGGTTTTACATATTAGTATACTCTTACATTGCAGTTTTTGTATTTTTTCTCAGAAATAAGATATTTTCCCAGGGTAAAAAGTATCCTATATGTTGACCCGGATAGCCAGCTATATCATACCAAATTTGATCAAAATCTGTTCAGTGGTTTTCTCGTGATTCGATAACAGACAGACAGACAAAAATTCTAAAAACTATAGATTCGGCCTTTGTATCGATAATATTGTCTATTTCAATAAGGTTTTCCAAAAAATATTTAATGTACAGATTCGACTCAGAATTTTATTATATATATAGACTAGCAGAACCCGCGGCTCCGCTCGCGCTAAAACTACAAAAATATCTCTAAAAAGGTAGATTTCATACAAACTGTTTTCCTCTATTATAAGGGGATAACCCTTATAAAATGAATTTCGAAAAATGCTAAAACACGTGTTTATTAATTTTTACTGAAGAGTATTAATACTAAGTTTCAAGTAATTTTGATCACAAATATTATTTTGGTTTGAATTATATTGTGTTTTCCTGTGAGAATAAAATAATATCCCGCGGTAAAAAGTAGCCTATGTCATTCTCCAGCCCTCCAACTATCTTCACACAAAAATTCACGGCAACCCGTCACTCCCTTTCGACGTGAAAGAAGGACAAACAAACAAACACACTTTCACATTTATAATATTAGTATACATTGGGATATGGGATTTGGGAACGATTTATGAAAACTGAAATTTATGTCCCTCTTTAGTGTGTACAAGTAGTTCGTGCAACACACCCAGCAGTCTAATATTAGACGAACATAAAACACTTAATTTTTCATTTATATTAATTCTTTAAGAAACTTAATTCTGAATCGCTTTTTATTAATATAGAACATAGAAGTTAAATTAAGAAAAGTTCTGAAAGTAAATAAGTTCAATGACTAAAATAAGTTTAACAATTAAGTTTAACAACTAAAATATTTTCCTTTTAAATTTTATTGTTAAAGATTACTGGAATACTTTTGCCGTAATGGTAAAATTATTGTAATTTATACAGCAATATATGAATTGGGTCAAGTTGGCAAGGTCCTGCTGCCAACAAAACCTATCCGCTCGATTCACAATAGGTTTCTTAGAAACGTCGTCATTGGTCGACGGCCTCGCCAAGTCTTGGCCGGCACATAAACAAATTTAAAATCGTTTCACACTGAAGATGAAATTATGTTTTATTTATGATATATTTTATGATAATTCCAGTTTTTCGTTTTATCATTAGAAGCTGTGTTCTGAGTCTGACTTGTAAAACTAAAAAACATTAGCATCCACATTAAAAGTGTTCGTTTCTAATTAAAACAATATATTTAAACATATATTTAGATTGTTACAAGGTCGAGATTATATACAATTTTTAACATATGTATGATAAATTAAAAAATATATATAACTAAAGGTATTGAGTGAATGTTTGAGTTAAGTATACCAAAAGCTGATGTACGTGTATTAATTGAAAATACAAAGTAGGTAATAAATAATATTTCTTTATATCATTTCCCGCCCTTAAAAAATTAATTGTAAGTTCTTTACACATCAATCATTTTTAAAATTAATCTTATTTATAAAAAATATTCAAAATGATACTTTACCTAGAGGTAAATGAACATTTCTTCGTTTACGTGTACAGTGTATAGAGTTCATAAAAATATTTAAATAATTAAAAAAAAGTTTCCATTATATTCATTGTGAGTAGTTTATTAAAAGTGTTAAGCGCCATCTCTTGTTGTATTTTCTTATTTCTTTAAAAATCGTCAGTGCCATCTGTTGTTCAGTAGCCTAGTACGAAACAAAAATTATAAAACAAAGTTTAATTTTCCTTTTTATTTAATTTAAATATTACTCTACAAAATATACGTAAGCAGCTCATCTTTATTATATAAATATACATGTTTATAATAGAATAATTAATTTTATAACGATCAGTACAATTTTGTACTCCATTTTATTTTGTATGTTAATTTTATACTATGGTAATGTTATGGGTTTTATTCATTCTATTTATGGTACGATTTAGATATATTTAATACTAGCGGCTCACCCTCGCTTCGCTCGGGTTCGTCGCTAGGTACGTTTTAAATAGATATAAAAAGAAAAAATCTTTCTTTCTCACATTTTAATTATATGTTTTAATACTTACCTATTCCGGACTAAGAGAAATCCAAAAATTAAAATATCATAAAAATTGGAACGCGGTCGAACGGGATAAAAAGTATCCTATGTCCTTCTCCTGGCTCTAAACTACCTCCCTGCCAATTTTCAGCTAAATCGGTTCAGCCGTTCTTGAGTTATAAGCGAAGTAACTAACACGACTTTCTTTTATATATATAGATTGTTAACAATATTTTGGCAGTTTAATTATTTCTTAAATTGAATAAAACCGTATATTTTTTCAATATTCTTACATAAATACAAAGAACATTATATAAACATTTTTCCAGAAAAACAAAGCTTTGATGTCTATACAAATTTTAAATCTTATACTAAAAATAAAAATTCTCTCTATAATAATTAAAATAAATTTATTTTATATTTTCATATTGAGATATTGTTGTTGTGCGAACTTAATAAAATATTTTATGGAACTTTTTATGTTGTAGGGATTTAAGAAATACTGGCAATACATTTTGTCTTTGACATTCAACGTAGTCTGACGGGTGGCGGGTACATCCGGCCCACGAAGTTGAAAAGGGTCCTTTTTAACGCGTACGCCATTGCTGGCGTATGGTGGTGTATTTTATTAAAAGAAAAATCATAAACCATCCAATATGGTGAGTATAAAATTTAGTCTTAGTGTTTAAAAAAGTGATGCAGAGAATATGTACTGATATTCTGCGGGTTTATTTTTCTAATTTCATGTGAAAAGAATTATTTAAAACTTAGGTTTTTCAATGCAGTCGACTTTGTGATCGGATGACGTTTTCACAGTGGTGTCGTGAATAAAGTGTTGTGAAATATAATGAAACATTATAAATCGTGTTAATCTTTATTATCTGAATTATAGCTTCATTAAACGATATTAAAATTGCTTTTTAGCAAAAATGAAACGTGCGTGTAACTGTCTAATTGCCATCTGTTTTGTGATAATCTTACAAGATGATAAGTGATATTTTCATTTGTGCAGGTGAATTTTACCGTCGACGAAATCAGACAGATGATGGACAAGAAGCGGAATATCCGCAACATGTCCGTCATCGCCCACGTAGACCACGGCAAGTCCACACTTACGGACTCGCTGGTCTCCAAAGCCGGTATTATCGCCGGTGCGAGAGCCGGTGAGACACGTTTCACTGACACCCGTAAAGATGAACAAGACAGATGTATCACTATTAAATCCACGTGAGTTTTTAAGACTTATCGATATACTATGTCAATGTAATGACCTTCCAATATGGCTGCACTTGCACATGCAGTTATGTTTCCAAGGATAAATTTTACCTTATTATTTTATTAGGCTTACCTATATATAATATAAGCGTACGAACTGAAGTAACTACTATTGTTCTAGTTATGAAAATCTTAATCTTCTTTGTTTCCATGATGATTGTTCTGACCACTTACAACTGAAATTCGGTGAAGATTTTTAGAACGGCCAGCTGATTTTTCTCAAATTCATTTTATGACTACCGGGCCTTTGGAACAATGGCTAAGCAAATTAAATTTACAGCGCCATATCTATGTTCTTCGAGTTGGAAGAGAAGGACTTGGTGTTCATTACAAACCCTGACCAGCGTGAAAAGAGTGAAAAGGGATTCTTGATCAACTTGATTGACTCACCTGGCCACGTTGACTTCTCATCAGAAGTAACAGCTGCCCTCCGTGTAACTGATGGAGCCCTTGTAGTAGTGGATTGTGTGTCTGGTAAGTAGCATAGTTAATTTTCCTAATTATCATTTGCATAATATTAAATGGTCATTTAGTCCACTTAATAATTTTAAAAGTGATTACTGATGTAATAATGAAAGGTGATAGATAGTATATTGACATTTCACTTAAAAGGTTAAAGGTTGCCAACTTTAAATGTCATAAGGAATATTGTACATAACATTGGAATATCTGTTATATTAGTATTTATACTAATGTTGTTTTTTAAGCTTAAAATAAGTACTGTTTTTATTATGAACATTTAAATGTCTTTGTTTCCATGATGATTGTTCTAACCATTTACAACTGAAATTCAATGAAGATTTCTAGAACGGCCAGCTGATATTTTTAAAATACTTAGACTAAAGTTCATCGACATGGTCTTGAGAACAATGGTTTAGAATATGTTTCTTCTCTCAGGTGTGTGTGTACAAACTGAGACAGTATTGCGTCAAGCTATTGCCGAGCGTATCAAGCCCATCCTTTTCATGAACAAGATGGACCGTGCTTTACTTGAGTTGCAATTGGAGTCCGAAGAATTATACCAGACCTTCCAACGTATTGTAGAAAATGTCAACGTTATCATTGCCACATATAATGACGATGGTGGTCCTATGGGTAAGTAGTTTTTTTTTATATCTTAACATTTCTATTTTGTGTTTTTTTAAGCTTATTATTATTCATTGAATAGTTTAAAAATTTAGGTATTACTGATAAAAGTCATTGCTAAAGATTTTGGTCAATAACATGAATGATTCAGCAATCTTTTTTAACAGGAATGGTAGCATAAAAAGAATACATATATTACATATTAACCAGTTCTATTAGTTTGTAAAAAAAATATTAAAATAATATATTTTAGTTAAAGTAATATAATATGTATGTTTATATCATTTTATTAATAACTTGTGTTCACACATCTTCACTTCACACTTTGCTATTTCATACACCTAAAGGTTGTCTAGAAGAAATCGCTGTTTTAGCGATAAGGCTGCCTCTAGTACACTTTCCTGTTACTGTATTGTATTTGACTTTATGTGTGTAAAATAGTATTTTATTATGTACATAAATATGTAAGCTCTATTGATATTAAAAGTCATAGGAAAGCCCATGATAGTGTACCTACTGATGATACTACTGGTTTCTAAAATGATTTTAATTAAGGTATAATTTGTTTTTTTTTGTAGTTAATTTTCTTACATGTACAATTAATGAGTGAATTGAAAAAATTGCTCTCAAATGTTTTTAAATCGTATTTGATAATCACGCGATGATAAAAAAAATTACGTTGCAAAATTATCACCTTATACCTATTTATTTAACACGTGAGTGGCGCAAAAGATCGATACTGTTAAGGTCAACAGCTGTTTTATAATGTACACGTGAAATTCGCATTGACGTAAAATATGCTGATGTATATTTTTACAATGAATATTTTGTTTATTTCAGATTTGTTGTATAATCATAATGATTCTTAGGTTCATAAAAAAAAAGAATTTTAGTTTTCATGTCATTGCATAATCATTATGCAGTTATTTGCATGTTTAGTTGAATCAATACTTTTTTTAATTTAAATAGACATAGTTTGCTTTATGTTATTTGTAAATGAAATGAAAAATTAAAAATGCTCATATTTATAGTGTTGTGAAAAATTAATAAAATCGATTAGTGTTTCGCCTTCAGTTTGCACATTTGACTAATCTAAATAAAGTAATTTGTAGTTGGCACTTATGCCTTTATACTATGCCATTATACTAGCAGCTCATCCTTGCTTCGCTCGGATTCGCCTCTAGAAAAATAATAAATTATCTCACGGGAACCGTACATTTTTCCGGGATAAAATTTAGCCTGATATAGATGTATGAGCTATATTATTGTAGTTTCATAAAAAATCTATTCAGTAGTTTTTGCGTGTGAAAGAGTAACAAACATCCAGACGTCCATACATCCTCAGAAACTTTCGCATTTAGAATATTAGTAGGAAGTAGGATTATAACAGGGACAAAGTTGTATCATTGTATAAAAATCCATACAGTACAGCGACGGCCACCGCCCATTGATTTTATCGGAAATGCTGTCAAATGCATGTCTAGAAATACCTTTATGGCTATAATGTCGTTTCATTGCAAGTTAGTTATACCCTTCAACCCTAAAGTCTTCCCTTAACAGATTATGTAGAAGCTAAAAACATTATTTAGAATGGTTTGAATTTTTATTTATATTTTGTTTTTTTTTTTAGTACTTCTTTACATTTTTTTTGATTTTTCTTTCATATTAGGTGAAGTACGTGTTGACCCCAGCAAGGGTTCCGTGGGCTTCGGCTCCGGTCTCCATGGTTGGGCCTTCACCCTCAAACAGTTTGCAGAGATGTATGCCGACAAGTTCAAGATTGATCTTGTCAAGCTCATGAACAGGTAATTGTTTTCCAATACAGATTCTCATGAAATGAACAAAGTCAGAGATACTTAGGTTGTATGATCAACTTAATAGTAAAATTTTAAATTTTTTTTAGTATTTGTTTTATAATAATTAGCGCTATGTCTTTCCTACTACTTGCATTTATGAAATAACTAGCAACTCACCCTTGCTTCGATCGGATTCGTCGCTAGATGATTTATTAAATTGACTTGAATAAACTAAATGTTAATTGAAGCTTACCACAATACATTACCAAAAACCACACCTTAATCGTTTAAGCCGTTGCTGAGATAGCGCGCACGAACGCAGGGACAAAAATTCTGAAAATCATTGCTTAGGGTTCCTACTTCCTTGCATTAATAAAGACCCCCAATAATAGGTTTTCTTAAATATCTTCCATGTACAGACAACGATCAGTTACAGTAATTATATGTATAGATTTATTCATGATTTTTCGTCCCATATTGATACTGGGTAAAGCCGTTAATGCTATACACCAGTGGCAGAAAGGACGGAAAGAGAATTCTTAGTTTGGATTGGTGAGACAGTCTTCATAGATGTTTTACAACAAAATCTAAGATACAAGATATATTGAATAATGGATATTTTTACTTCTATAAACTATTTTGTTTACATATAGTCATCCATTTTTAACAGATTATGGGGAGAGAACTTCTTTAATGCCACTACCAAGAAGTGGTCAAAGCAGAAGGATAACGAGAACAAGCGTTCATTCTGTATGTATGTGTTGGACCCCATCTACAAAGTGTTCAGCGCTATCATGCAGTTCAAAAAAGATGAAATTGACAGCCTGCTCAAGAAAATTGGAGTCACCATCAAACATGAAGATGCTGACAAGGATGGCAAAGCTCTACTTAAGGTAAATTTTAAATAAGTTGTTTAGTTGAAATGTAATTTTTTTACTTGAATAGCCATCAATAATTTTTTTGATTATTAAATAAGATCAAGTCCCAAGTGTTGCCAGTAGCTTCTGCCATAAGCTTCTGGGTGTCAAAGAGGACTGACAGCATCAGTCTTTTTGGAATTGGTTATAAGTCTTGTGACTTGTGTCCCCATAAATGGAAGATACATTTTTATATATTATTATTTTATACTTCCTACTAATATGTACTACATCTATAATGAAATTTACCCATCTTAACTCATTTTTCTTTATTGTGTAGGTAGTGATGCGTACCTGGTTGCCAGCTGGTGAAGCTCTGCTTCAGATGATTGCCATCCATCTGCCTTCCCCCGTGGTTGCGCAGAAATACCGTATGGAGATGTTATACGAAGGACCTCATGATGATGAAGCCGCTCTTGGTATCAAGGTATATCATGTTTAATTATTTAACTGAGAAAGTTTTAGAGAAACTTATTGTCGTAATAGAAATTTTTGAAAATTGTTATGATGTTGTCTTGAAGATAAATTAATAATTATATTTTTTTTTTTGTGTATTTTAGACCTGCGACCCTGAGGCACCCCTTATGATGTATGTGAGCAAAATGGTACCGACCTCCGACAAGGGCCGTTTCTATGCCTTCGGACGTGTATTCTCCGGCAAAGTTGTCACCGGACAAAAGGCCCGTATCATGGGACCTAACTTCCAACCTGGCAAGAAAGAGGTATGAGAAATAACCAATATTTATATACCTAAATGTTATAACATCCTTCCGCACCCCGTGCCGTGCCCTAGCGCGCGTGCTGTGCATTGTATACGCGCAGCGCGCTCGCGGTGAGGGCGGCGGTGCGTGCAGAAGCAGAGCAACTGGCGCGCGTCTAAACGCTGCACAGGACCGCTATCCTTATGTCCCGGGACTGCATGCTACGGCGCGTGCGATACAAATAAAACTTGTAATACTTAAAATTACGCGTATATTTGACTTTTTAAGTAATAAAATTTAGTGTTTCTCTCATGACTATATTTGCTTACGGCATTTTAAACGTCGAAAATCCAAAATCAAAATAAAACCACAAAAAATTCTGTAAAATAGTGTTATTTCAAATATTTTAACTCAATTGAATGATATGAACATAATTTATATCTAGTATATTATTTGTATAGGATATGTATGAGAAGACCATCCAGCGTACCATCCTCATGATGGGTCGTTATGTTGAAGCCATTGAAGATGTACCTTGCGGTAACATTTGCGGTCTCGTCGGAGTTGACCAGTTCTTGGTCAAGACTGGTACCATCACCACTTTCAAGAATGCGCACAACATGAAGGTTATTATGTTTTTCTACTATAATTTTGTGTTATAAAAAAAAACATTTTTAGATAAGCAGATATTCAATAACAATGATTTTATTAGGCAAATTTTCTATTTCTATATTTTAAGAACTATTAACTAATATTAAATACATCCATTAGGTCATGAAGTTCAGTGTGTCCCCTGTCGTGCGTGTGGCTGTAGAGCCCAAGAACCCTGCTGACCTGCCCAAGTTGGTGGAAGGTCTGAAGCGTCTGGCCAAGTCTGACCCTATGGTGCAGTGCATCAATGAGGAGTCTGGAGAGCACATCGTAGCTGGTGCTGGAGAACTCCATCTCGAAATTTGTTTGAAGGTAACAATTTTTGATCGATTGAAGTGCCATTGGATAAAAAAGTTTAAATGATTTTTTTTTAAAGTCCAAAGTGTTGCCAGTTGCTAATAACATAAGCTTCTGGGTGTCAAAGAGGACTGACAGCATCAGTCTTTCTGGAATTGGTTGTAAGTCTTGTGACTTGTGTCCCCATAAATGGAAGATACATTATTCATATTAAAAAAAATACACACAAACCTTAGTTGTGCCAAACGATCCCTTAGTAAATCAAATTCAAATAATTTTTATTGTATTAATGTTGCTATCACAATAAATTTTCTCAAAATAAAATTTACAAGAAATGTTATTTTTCCACTAGGATCTTGAAGAAGATCACGCCTGCATTCCAATCAAGAAATCCGACCCTGTTGTATCCTACCGTGAGACGGTCAGTGAAGAGTCCAACCAAATGTGTCTATCCAAGTCTCCCAACAAGCATAACCGTCTCTTCATGAAGGCTACCCCCATGCCTGATGGTCTGCCCGAGGATATCGATGAGGTAAATCAACAATGTACATCATATTTCAAATAATGCAATTAGAAAACAAAATATTTACTGAGTCTGAAATTGTGCTATCTTGCTTAAGAAAAATGGTTGTTAAAATTTCAATTGGTTTCCAGGGCCGCGTAAACCCACGTGATGACTTCAAGACACGTGCGCGTTATCTTGGTGAGAAATACGAGTACGATTTGACTGAAGCCCGTAAGATCTGGTGCTTCGGTCCCGAGGGCACCGGACCCAACATCCTGGTGGACTGCTCCAAGGGAGTGCAATATCTGAATGAAATCAAGGACTCCGTTGTTGCTGGTTTCCAATGGGCTGCCAAGGAAGGAGTCATGGCTGAGGAGAACTTGAGAGGAGTGCGCTTCAACATCTATGACGTAACCCTCCACACTGACGCTATTCACAGGTTTGTTGTCGTCTTAATCACAATTTTATGCCATGCTAATGGAAACTGTTTTGAAAAAAAATTTTTTACATATTTAGAAAATATAATTCTAATCTATTTTAATGAACAGAGGTGGCGGTCAAATCATTCCTACGACGAGAAGATGTCTGTACGCGTGTCTGTTGACGGCCGCGCCCAGGCTCATGGAGCCAGTGTACCTTTGTGAAATCCAGGTAAGGTTTCTATACCACATCAACAGAATTATTATTATTATTTTTTAATTGTAAATAAGATTTATCATAATTGTACTAACTAGGAATTTGACAACTTAGTAATATTTAAATTCAGTTTTTTTAAATAAAACTATAACTTTTCGGATTATTTCGCGGATTTATTTTCATTTTTGGTTCACGACTCAGTACAGTTTTTTTTGTTAGGAAATGACTGAATGTTGTGGATGCTATTTGTTTACCTAAATTAATTTGTAAATAAAGAGATTTTTTTTTAAATTCTAGTTAGTACAAACTGTTCTTATATTGTTAGCTTACTAAGAAATTAAGCAATGCCAACCATTGGAAACTTACGAGACATTAAAAATTATAGAAATAATCATTGCAAAGTTGCTAAATTATTATATAATTATATTTTACGATTAAGCTAACAACATAAGCACCTTGCATGAATATGAATCCCACGTGATTTCCTATGCGGACTGGTTTGTGCCTGGCCGCTCTTCCGACTCGTGGTAGAGTAACAGCTCTTTGTTTTGGCATTGACACCCAACATACCCTTTGCCTGAATAGGGGATCTAACATTGGAACAAAATTTTAACATTACCTGCAATTGGCAAATCCATTTATGATTCAAAATAAAAAAGGGGTCAATACTTAATATACATATATTTAAATGTTAAAAATCAATAATTTCTATTATTAAATACATTACAGTAACTTTTTGCACAAAAAAAATTAGAACCATCAAGAGTTTGGTCTTTTACGTCAATCCTACAGTTTTTTTTAAATAGCATATTGACATAAACCCCTGAAACCCCAATATAACTTCATATACCAATTGCATGTAACCCAACCTAAAAAATCCTTATTCCTCAACATCTATAATAACTAATTATTATAACCTATCCATAACACGTAACAGTGTCCCGAAGTCGCCGTGGGAGGTATCTACGGTGTGCTGAACAGACGGCGTGGTCACGTGTTCGAGGAGTCTCAAGTGGCGGGTACCCCCATGTTCGTGGTGAAGGCATACCTGCCCGTCAACGAGTCGTTCGGTTTCACCGCCGACCTGCGCTCTAACACCGGCGGCCAGGCTTTCCCACAGTGCGTGTTCGACCACTGGCAGGTACTGCCCGGAGACCCGTGCGAGGCCGGCTCCAAGCCCTTCGCTGTAGTACAGGTGAGATCATTATTTTTTACTGTGCTTCTTCAGATGCTAGTGTCTGATTGGAATGAAAAATTGCTGTATTTAATTCACATTATTTGCTTTAGTGTATTATAACTTCAGATATGGTTTTTAAATAATGTTATATCAAAATGCTGTCTATATAAATAAAATGTTAGCCACTAAATATTACAATATTCAAAACGTTGAAAAATAATGTTTATAACATCCTTCCGCACCCCGTGCCGTGCCCTAGCGAGCGCGCTGTGCGTTGTATACGCGCGGCGCGCTCGCGGTGAGGGCGGCGGCGAGTGCGGAAGCAGAGCGACTCGCGCGCGTCTAAACGCTGCACAGGACCGCTATTCTTATGTCCCGGGACTGCATGCTACGGCGCGTGCGATACAAATTACACATTACATAGCTTTTAGGACAAGAAAATTATTTAATTATAAGAATTCATAACTAAATTGCCTTTCTTATTTACAGGAAACAAGAAAACGGAAAGGATTGAAGGAGGGTCTCCCAGATCTAGCCCAATACTTGGACAAGTTGTAAACGTCGTAGCTAATGCAATACTGTAATATACAACAAGCGCCTCACGCACTTCGATTTCGGTTCGACCATTTGCCTGATTATGTCATCGAAAGCTGAACTTTCAATAAAATATTATATTTGAGACGCGTTATTAATAAATTTATTGTGATACCCGGCTGTATCTTATATTCAAACATCCCCACTTATCATCCATGTAGTCGGGAAACAGGACACTTTAATTATACTGTAATTAATTTTTAAATTATAATTTTTCTATTATAATCAATGTAGTTTTTATTTTGAAATTTTTGCTAATTAGTCATTGTTTTAAGGTGAGTGTGATTTTATCGCTTCTTTATATTTGGCTTATTTTTTTATCATTCAGAAATCCAAGTGATATTTATAATGTTTTATTGGTTTCAGATTCCAGTTTTTCTGCAAACCGTATTATTCAGGTAAAATATTTTTTATTAAAAAAATACTATTATAATTCTCAATATTATTTTTTATTAATTTCTTATTAGATCACATCTACAAACTATATGAAAATAAACTTATTCAATTCTCCTTTTCTTTTTATGATGAGTTTATCACAGACCTGTTCTGATATATTTGAGGACACCAATTTACTTATTTCTGATTATTATTATATATTATGTAATATAAATATATGTTTTTCAAAGTAATAATTTTTAATAAATATCTTTACAGGTAACAAATGGTTTGCTGCTTTTGATTAACAACAGGTAATATTTTATTTATTGAACTTTATAATATTAACTAAATTACTCTAATGATTCAAATAATTTTGTTTTGTTTGGTAATTTTTAAGATGTCTTTAAGATACATAACCTTTTTTAGCAAATAAAGCTGAGACTGCATTAATTTAACTTTTAGTGTTACTGGCCAACCTAGTAACAAATAAGTAACATTATGATGACAAAACTGTACCATACGATTTCTGATGGCTTACAAGCTCAACAGGCCTGATTTATTATGTTGTTGTATTTATACTTTAATCCAACGACATTAGAAATTAAATATTATATTCTATTTCAGAGACTGTCAAGTTGTGCCAAAACATGGATGGACCTACCACCACCTTCACAATAAATACAAGTATGTAAAAATGTACTCTAACACTATAAATACTTAGTTTAAAAGATCGCCGTAAATATTACATTAGGCTTATTTATATTTTTTGTTGGAGAAAGATCTGTACTGGACCGATTCCAAAAGATTCTTACGATTTTTATAAATAAAATTCTAATATGTAGACAGGCACTAAATTAAAATGTATATATGCATATGTTGTAAATTGGGTAGCACAATTAATGAGAAATATATTTCTTTTATGTAAGTGATGATAAAATATATGCCAGATGTTATTGTGATGGTTTCATAAGCTCAACAGGACTGAGAGATGTATTATTGATGTTAATTGTGTAACTCGTATTTATGGGATGTTAACATTTTGTTTTCTTTTACCAGCCGAGGAAAATAAGGCAGTGGAAATGGATGTAATCTGGTGAGTTTTTTTTAATGTATATGATGGAATTTTGGTTTAAATACCCCTTTTTGATGTGAAACATCTATTAGCGCGCTTTGGCAGTAAAACTGACTCGTATGGCGTGACGGCAAACGGGATGACGCTGTCATGCCTCTCGACTCCCTTGTGTGTGCGCGCGTATGCGATACTTTGTTGCTTCTCAGTGTAAGCTGCGTAATGTTTCTTTACATACTCCATATTTCGTTATAAGATAATATTAACATAGATGTTTCACATCTGCCGGGCGTCCCTCGACCGTCAGGTTTTTTTAAGATACTATATGATGATCAAATCACAGACCTGTTCTGAATATCTTTGAGGTCAATCTTTATATTTTTCTGATTCTTATTCAAAAGTAATTATTTTGCGCTTTATGATATTGCTTATTTATAATTTATATTTTTTTCTGTGCAGGTACGAGGGGAGGTCTAAAAGTTCATAGAATGGGAGGGGATGGAGTGGGGATAGAGGCGCTTGCTGACTGTCATACTAATTGGGGACTCATTAGTATTAAGAGACGTGCCGAAAAATAGATTTATGTCTATTGAAAATAAATATTTTGAAATAAATCGCTTTTTTTTATAATTCTCAATCTTTCGACATACTATCACCTAGATTATTATAAAAATGATCACTATATACCTTCTTTGATAATTTTGTTTTCTCTTCGTAAAATTTCTCTAACGTAGACTTATTCTTTAACAATGATTAAGGTTAAATGAAATAGTTGTAATCCAAGTAACCTAGTGCTCCGAAGTCGCAGGATTAATGCATATAACGACGTATATATTATGATGAAAGCGAGTCTCAAGAGATATGACACTAAAAGTAAACAATGCACGCTGAGAGCACTTAATATTTAGCTTCAGCTGCCGCTAGTTACATTTTCGGTAAAAAATCATTTGAATATCTATTTCTGTTTAAAATATTATCGTTCATTTAATGAAAGACAGACATGAACTTAGGACCTATGCACACCACGTTTTATAAAGGCATCGGCGTGTTGGCTGCGCTTATTCTGCGCTGGCTCTAAACACCACGTTTCATAGACGAGCTGACCACACCCGTTTCCTGAATGTACAGTTGCATCGATAGCGAATATTCTACGCGGATAACTTAAAAAAATCAGATTTTATGTCTTGGTTGATGATAAGCGGAGTTAGTTCAGTCTAAGTATTGCCTTTATAAAATCTGAATGTGAATCGGAAACTCGTTTAGAAGATAGTAATAAAAGTTTAACATAATTAAAAACCACAACTGAAAAATACATAGCGTTGTTCTTCTTTATCTATAGCAATTCATTATATCAAGTGCAGTTTATCATGTTTAACAAATAAATGAAGGATTAGGTATATCTCGCTTTTTGCCGGTGCAGGGTAATCTGTTTATCGCCAATAATTACGCATAGTTCGTTGATAAAACGAAGAAAAGAAACAGCTATGTAATATTTAGATTATTTACAACTATATTAGTGGTCTGTAGATAATTTATATTTTATGTGAGTACGTAATATCCCAGTGCTGCCAATTGGCGGGTAAATTACCCGAAAAGCGAGTAATTTTAGGCGATTTTTGATGGCGGGTAATTTTGACGGGTATTTTAGAAGAAAACTTAAAATATCAAATTAATCACCTGAACTAAGATAGTTAAGGTGATTAATTTGATATTTTAAGTTTTTTTATGTTTGATTTAATAATTTACAGCTGTTAAATCGAGAACTGATTACAACTGTCTAGAGACTGTTATCTGGCAACCCTGTAATATACCATTAACCATTATTTTACTCCAAAATGGCAACTCTAGAACTGTCATTGTTATTAAAATGATTACGTCAAAAAGTACTGAAGGTCGTGGCTGTGCGCATGTTAGGTAGAAATAAATAAATTTCAGTAAGTCTCATAGTTTCATGTGGGACAGGTTATTCAGCCGAATCTTTAATAGTTTTCATAAAATGTTGCCCGAGGTCGTATTTGTACTTGGAGCGCCCGGCGCGGGCAAAGGCACACAGTGTTCTCTTATTTCTAAAGAATTCGGCTTTGTTCACCTCTCTGCTGGAGATTTACTTCGAGAAGAACGGCAGCGGCCTGGTTCAGAATATGGCGAAATGATCGAAGAAAAAATTAGAAATGGTGAAATAGTTCCAGTGGAAGTAACGTGTTCGCTTATACATAAAGCTATGCAAAAGTCTGGTAAGACACAATTTCTCATCGATGGATTTCCACGTAATAAAGACAATTTAGAAGGATGGGAACGGGTAATGTCAGATAAAACTAAGTTGCTGTTCGTATTATTTTTTGAGTGCTCGCGGGATTTGTGTACGCAACGTTGTTTAAACCGCGGCGCTGCCGGCAGCGGTCGATCGGATGATAACCTCGAAAGCCTGAAGAAAAGATTCAACACGTATCTAAATGATACCATGCCTATTATTGAACATTATGATGAGAAGGGATTAGTGCGGAGGGTTAATGCTGAAAATGGGCCTGATGAAGTATTTACGAAAGTAAAAAAGGTTTTTTACAATATGGAAAAGGTAGCTAATTAAATTGTGAATCACACAAATAGGTCAATAAGAAGTTCGTCACGTTAAGAATATTGATTCCAATAGGGTATTACTTTCCTTGCCAAAGTTTAGTAAAGTGCAGAGTTCAGAAATGTAGCTTCTATTAAAAAAATTAAACATTATTTATTATCTACAAAAGTTTTGAAAGATTAAATAATTGTCTTTAACAATTCTAACTACAAGGTTGACTTCGTCATGTCCCAGAAGACCTTCATACTTTTTTGTAATAATAGCATTATTTTATGAGAATAACTAAAGGTCACTTGCTGCAAAAATCACCTGTCACTTAGCTTAAAAGTTTACACAATGGTAGTGTTTGTGGCATAGGCATATGGCATTTATAAAAATTATTTATTTCATACATTAACTGTTTCTGAATAGAATCAAATTAGATACAATAATTAATAGTATTATATGGATCCATTACCTTAAAAAATGTTACCTCATTAGCATTTTTCTGCTTAAAAATCATGTTATAAATAAAATAAAAAAAGGATTGCATTTAAATGTATAAAATCAAGTCTATTTATATAGAACTCAATCTTTGTTCTGTCATAAGTTAAAGTAGCCTAAGCATGCAATTATATATATTATGTAAATAAAAACCAAAGTTGAAATAACCAATACCTATGTTTTATTTAATACCTAACATTAGGCAAAATATACCTAAAGAAAGAGATAACAATTTGAAGTAAGAAAGTAAATCAATATAACAAATTATTAAACATATTATATAACTTATTTTCAATGGTTATTTTATATCTGTATCTATACTAATATTATAAAAAGGCAGTTTGTTTGAACGGGCTAATCTCAGGAACTGTTATTCCGATTAAAAAAAAATCTTTTTACTTTAGATAACTCGTTCATTGAGGAAGGCTATAGGCCAAATGTCACCCCTGAAAAATGTATGGTTCCTGTGGGATAGATTTGTTTTGAGGGACAAACGCGAAGCGAAGCAAGGGTGAGTCGCTAGTATATCATGCTTTATTACACATTTTAGCATTGCCCGCGGTTCCGCCCGTGTTCAGATGACCAAAAACAAAATTCTTAGGTTTAACATATTAGTATACTCTTACATTGCAGTTTTTGTATTTTTTCTCAGAAATGAGATATTTTCCCGCGGTAAAAAGTATCCTATACGTTGACCCGGATAACCAACTCTCACCATACCAAATTTCATTAAAATCCCTCCAGCGGTTTTTCTGTGATGCGGTAACAGACAGACAAAAATTCTAAAAGCTATAGATTCGGTCTCTGTATCGATAATAATGTTTATTTCAATAAGATTTTCCAAAAAATATTTAATGTACAGATTCGGCTTAGTTACAATTTTATTATATGTATAGATGTCGGTATTGTGTTCTGTCAATTCTCAGAAAAAAAAATGTTTCATAGAAAAATAGACCCAGAAACGAACCCTTTTACTTATATTTTTGTGTTATATTATGATATGGGAAATAAATTAAACGCATATTTATTCATATTTTTATTGAAACAATTAAGCATCTTACATTTATTGCAATAATGCCAACTGTTAAAAAATAAGTAAGTACAAATAAAATAAAATGTGTTACAGAAAAACAAAAAAAACTCAATGGTGCATTAAACTTAAAAGTTTTCTTAACTCTATAAAAATAACACACAAAGTAATTAAGTTTCTCAACTCAAACAACAAGAATGTCATTAATCTTTAGTTTTAGAATGTTAAAGGCATTTATTTATCAATACATGTTTATCCTCAATAAGTAAGTATTGAATTTCAGAGCAGTATCAGTTTTCAGTCTTTGCAATACAGCTAAGGACACAATGGATCACTCGGTGACAGTTTGCTATCACTTAGTATAAAAATGTGAAAAGATGTTCTATTTATACTATCTTTCTTTGTGTTGCAGTCTTTTAGTAACTTTATATAATATACTTTATTATTAGTAATTTTGCATACATAGTGAAAAAGGGTCAAAACTTGAATTAACCTATATTGAAAAAAAGTGGTGTATAGATTTAAGTGATTAAATAAAACTAAAATAGTAATAAATAGTTTACATTAATGATATTTAAATAAAACTAAAATACTTACATTTTCAAAATTGTTTAAATAATACTTTGGTTGTTATATCAGTAGGTGAATGATCGCTTAAAAATGAAAATGAAGTATAAAAATATTGAGATCTTGAACCAGATAATCTATAAAGTCTTTATGGTTATAAATAAGCCCAGTTAACATTACAATAAACGTAATAACTGTTTATGTATATCCAAAAATATAAAATGTGACTGAGAAGTAAATATTTTAAATTTAAATCGAATATCATTTTTTTTAAAAGTGACATTAATAACAGAATTCCTATTAGGATTCATTACGATTTCTAAAGTATTGTCTGTTCGCCTATAAAAAGAAATTGAAATATTGAGATTCTAAAATCTAATATAATATATAAACAAATAAAACGTTATATGTAATCTATACAATACTAGCAGCACTATAAGTATGTATATATTTCTTATTACAATAATAGTGAATGCAGAGTTTAATATTAAATATCTGATCCGGTCAAATTACCTGTCTCTTGTTCCGAAGATTGTAGATTCTATTACCGCTTAGGGCAGACTTTACTTTCACCATATTGTGTTATTTTTAGCAAAAGGCTGTTGACTTGTTTTAATTCCTTTTATAACTAGCACAACTATCACAAACTTTGACCAGACTTACATTAAGCATTTTGTTATAATAGCTTTATAATATGCTCATTAAAATACAATATTTATCATCCCTTAATTATATATTTTAATTTACTTTTAAGACATTGGTATTACATATTTTTCTATGTCATGGAATTTTGCAAAAAAACCTCATTCTTTTAGAAAGAAAGAGACAATTGCTAAACTAATATTAAATTTAATAACGGATATATTCAACATACATTATAAGTTTTGGAACAATCTATGTCAACATCTAAAGCGGAAGCTGCTTACAGTAAAATAATACAAAATATGTTCCATATGATAATAATAATAATTAGTAATAAAATTCGAGACATTTCAATATCGACATGTCATTAACATAAGACTAGGAATGAAAATAATTGAAAGAATGTCACTTCTGTTCTTTTCCGTCTCACGTGGAATAATGTAACGACGGCAAAATAATAATAATAATAATAATAAACAAATCAACTTCTGGGAATTACAATGAAATATTAAATAATGTTACTAAATTATTAATAATACCGTAACAAATGTTTGTTTTCATAATTACGTATTATATCTATGTATCATTATAATTTTCATTACACATAATTGTTCAGTTAATTGGAATGCGACATTGACATAAACATATAAAGCTTTGCATTTCGTAATACATTAAAGCAGCACACATGTATAACACTTACTAACAATTATAATTATATATTGTTTATTCAAATATTTAAAAATAGTTACCGTTTAAAAAAGGTACTCAATAATTTGACGTAAGGTTAACAGACGTATTCGTCAGAAACCAAAAATAGTAGTACATATTCTAAAATAATGATTACTTATCGTGTGCCGTAATTAAATTATCGCAAAAATAAATTCACACTTTCAATATCACATGTTTCCATTAAATAAGACAAATGCGGACGTCATATTGGCAATATTACAACACTGTATTAATTTTTGAAACATCTCAATTATGAGAATATAGACAAAGAGTCCAATCACAATAGGGTTTCATATGAGAAATCTGTCTGCAAAATTTTTTAGAGCTTATAGTTCTAGAAAGTTTACTAAGTTAATTAATTGAAAAAATGAATTCACGCTATAATAACTATGTGTCTTTCTTTAATACTTAGTAATTTTGAACAGCTTGCTTTGCTTACATACAATAAATAAATAGTTTTTTTTTTACATTTCCTCTTGGGACATAGCGACCGTAGCGCTCTCTGCGCGACCATTATTATTTTTTCAAATGTTTGGGACAACTTTTACATATAGACTCATTGTCTATATTCTTCATGATCTCAATCTAGAATTACAATGTTGTTCGTTGGATGTTTGTTTTTGTTTTTAAACAGGCGTGGGTCCTTCGTCGATCTCTTCTTTAGCGAAAGACAAGAACACTTCCTCCAAGGTGGTTTCGGTGACGGAGTAGTCCTCCAACAGCGTGGGGAACTCGCTCTTTAGACGTTCCAGTTCTGAGAACAGGTCGCTGTATCTCAGCGTATCGTTGATGTGGTAGTGTAGACGCGTCTGAAAAAAAGTTTAATTATCATGGAATCTCGACAAAAAGTAAAATTAGCTCAAATGAATCAAACCAAAATATACTTTATTCACACAGACTTATGTTTTTCAATTTAAATTAAATGTCAATAATATGTTAGTGCTTGAGGAATCTATGTATATATTATAAAGAGAAAAAAAAATGATTTTTTTTTTGTATTTTTGTTTGTAATGGATAAACTAAAAAACTACTAAACCAATTTAAAAAAATCTTTCACCTATCATAAGCTGCATTATCACCGAGTGATGTTACTCGGCCGATGTTGGCCATTTTATTTAAATTAGAGATCCCCACGAAAATAGCAAAATTGCACTAATGTAACCTATGGTATCAATATTACCTATATTAGTCATTATATTTTGTTGTACGCTGAACCTATATTAGTTTACAAAATGTCAATAGATTGCCTATCCCTATTAACATTGTCGGATGTGAAAATCGGCAACTTTACAGGGGAGTGCGTCAAAGTTTGAATTGTTGATATTTTTTAAATGTACAAGTTAGGTTAACAAAAATTTCTTGTGGCTATTTTAAAAACTACACGTAAAAAATATTTTTTTTGTTGCAGCTACTAAAAGAAGAGAATTTTTAAGAGTGATTAGTAAAATAAAAAGAAAATGACAAATTTGCATATCCGACAATATTAATAGGGATAGGCGAGATGGTGTCAGAGCTTCCTTACTCATCAGTATTTTAAATTATCATTATTTATCAATAATACAATCTTGAATGATACTTAATGAACGAGGTAATAAATATATAGTTCAAGTGCCGTCTTGGCTTAGCCTAGATGTAGTTATTTTTTTCTTGCATTTTTAAATAAAACTATCTTTTCGGATTTTTTTGCGGAATTATTTTGATTTTTGATCCCCGATGACGCTTAGAATGCTTTACAGCAATCATGGTCACGGGAGAGACTAAGGTTTTAGACGTCTCAAAAGCGTTACATAGTTGTTTTTTTAGCCGTTAGACTCACGAGGCAGTTATTTCCATAGTTCTATGTATTACAGAGGCAGACGTTTACAGAATCACTGTTTTCGTCGCAACGAATGTAGTTTTAGAAGGTTTTTTAAGGAACAGAGATATATATTAAATATATATTCGTATTCAGCCCTTTTTAACGTCCTATTGTTGGGTACAGCCTTCCCTTCAAATACGAGGGGGATCAGGCCATAGTCCACCACGCTGGCGTGTGAGTGCGGGCGGACCGAGTATGTCTTTCGAAAACTTGCTAGATTTCACGTGGTTTTTCCTTCACCGTAAGACAAGTGGTAATCATGTTAGAAATGATTAGCACATGAAAATATCAGCTTACCTTATGTTCATCTCGGAGTGTGCAGTTGAACTTTTCTTGTAGCGAAGCTTTTAAACGGGTCAATTCCGACATAGTGCTGTCCGTTTCTAGAAGTAATTTCAATAAATTAATTAATATTAACAATAAATAAATAAGTTTCGAAGAAAAAAAAACAAAAATTGACTAATTTCTGTGAAGAAGCCTGTGTGTGCACACACGTACACCAGATTTTTACCAAATCTTTGATTCCTTACATCTTTTCAATAAGCTATTAAGCATTTTAGACTTCAATTTACATCACGGTCTACGTTCTATTTACGTCCATGATTTTAAAAAACTTTTGTGTAACAACGTATATTAAAATATCATATTGTTACGTAGTTGAGAGTGTAGGAAGTGTTTACACCAAAATAGTAGGTACGTCAGACCTGTCAATTCTGAATCATACTCAAGAATAGGTTCCAAAAAAAAGAAAATTAAAAACGTATTGTCATACGATAAGTATAGTTAATGGTAAGTTGCCGTGAGTGCGAGAGGGACAAAAGATTTTTCAAAATGGGAATGAAAATTGCTAGAACATTTTTGATTACATTTTTTTTTGTTTATGCATTTAACAAAGGCGGTAGTGTATGAAGATCAGCATTAAGTGATAATCGAGAAACACGAAGGCTAAAAGTGGTGGAAAAATAGTGCTTTGACTAAGATAAAACTTAAAGCTCTCAATAAGTTGAAGCAATTTAACATCTGTAGTACTATTTTTGATTTCAGAACTCTAGCTCGTACATTTCTCTCGTATATCAGAGTAATATATATGTTATACAGATACAGTGATATATTAGGAGGGCACTGAGCTTTTGGCGCTAATTGATTTTAGTAGGACGAAAGCGGGCAAGGGTTTAGTTAGAATGACGGAACGCGTCCAAATTTAGGTATTTTCTTCGTATAATTAAAACAAATACACATTTTGAAAATGTAAAAGTGTATACGTTATAGAAAACGTATAGTTTTGTTATTATTAAAAAACTGATGGACTTCTTTGTATAATTTACGCCGCACTAAGGGTTTATTTTGTTGTTTAGAGATCATTTTGGTTTTTTTTTCTATCGAGGCAACTATATGTAATCGTGTTTCTAAAGTGTACGATTTCTAGAATAAATTCTTAAATATCCTACATATTAATGGCATAATTAGAGTTTTAGTAATAACAATACAGCAAGGGATCAAACGAACGCAATTATTTCGTAATTACGTTTCGCTGCCTCGGTGCGCTCTTAAAGTATTCTGGTGGAGGGATACATATATTTTTTTAATTTACTATGGCACCATAGATAATTTATATTATGTTTTGTCTATGACCTTGTATCAGTTTATTTATTTATTGTGTTTTTTTCAACTCACATTTATATTTGATATTTGCTTTATAATAAAACTACTACGTTATTGAACTCCGCAGGCGGAGCCACAAGAAAAGGCTAGTACTCGATATAATAAAACTATGAAAATGGTTCATTAATCAAATGTATAACAATATAAAAAATGTTACCGTCAGCGGGCGTTAGTGTACGTTTTGTTCTTGATCCGTCATTTTATTTATATGTGATTTTTAAATTTTTATATTTTACTTTTAGTTGATAATGAATTTTAGTAGTAGCACTACACGGGCGAAGTCCTATATATAAAGATAAAAATCGGTCAATTGCGAGTTTGACTAGCACACCGAGGGTTCCAAACTACAAATTTATGGTTTTTGGATTTTTCCTTATAGTTAGTTGTGCTATAAGATATTGCTTATTGGCAAATTTCATGATCCCACGTCATCGGGAAGAATAGATTTTAATTCGCTTGCGAATGTCAAAATATGCGACATAAACTAAAGATAAGATTAAACGTATTTTGCGGAATTCAAAATTCAAAATATTTTATTCAGCATTAAATTATTACAATTTTTTACTGAACGTCATGAGTCTACTACCAGTTCGGAAAGAAGAAGCCTCAGACCTGAGAAGAAGTGGCGAAAGAAAGATTATTGCGTGCGTTACCGTCTCTGTCGGCGCGCGCGCCGGCCCCGCGCGCCAGGCGCAGCAGCACGGCGTGGCCGGCGGCGTGCGCGGCGCGCAGCGCGGCCGCCTCGCCCAGCGCGCGCACGCGCCCGCGCGACATGATCGCGATGCGCCCGCACAGCGCCTCCATCTCGTCCATGCTGAACCAATGTTTACCGTTATACTCTTTCTTGTGTTGGAGAACTATCTCATTCATGTTACAGAGGAAGAGCCCGTGAACGCCAGACCTTCGTCGTTTTGTAAAGGCTGAAAGTTTGTCAGCGCATGCTCCCGACACAGATAAGAACGATGGACTATTATGAAGTTTAGGCTATGGTGGTTTTGGCAGGTACACGGTACTAAAGGTGTGTAAAATACCGATCTAAATTCGTCAAATAATAAAGTGTGGTTTTTTGGTATTACCTTCAAAATATTATTAATAAAAACTTTTTAACAAAAAAATAAAACCGACTTCAAACAAATGCACTAAAAAGTAAAAAATAACTGATTGGTAGTTTTCATTTACTATACATACCCAATCAAATATTTTCGAAGTCGGTGTGCTTTGCTTTGTATGGGCTGGCACCGGTTTCGAAAATATTTGATTAGGTATATATTTAATAGGTAGGCTTTAATTACTTAGCCAAAGCACACCGACTTCGAAAATATTTGATTAGGTATGTATAGTAAATGAAAACTACCAATCAGTTATTTTTTACTTTTTAGTGCATTTGTTTGAAGTCGGTTTTTATTTTTTTGTTAAAAAGTTTTTATTTTTCCCTTTTTAGTGTACACAGTAGTAGCGAAGTAAGAATTCTAACGTGTTAGGCTTGTCAAATCAAACAAAATAAGCCCAAACTCAAAGTATCTACTATTAGCCGTTGAAAAGTTCCACCTATCCACCTTCTGGCCTTACCATAAGATCAGGTCAATAATAGCGAACCACTGTACTATCAACGGAAATAGAAACACTTGCAAATTTAATGTTAATATGACAATTAGAAGTAGGTTAAATTCATCATTAGCTGTTTTTCCACCCTTAGGGGTGGTATTTTTTTTTTGAAATTTAAATGGGACCAATCTGGAAGTATACCCTTTCAAACAACACAAAAATTGTCCAAATCGGTTCATAAATGACGGAGTTCTGAGGTAACAAACATAAAAAAACAGTCGAATTGAGGACCTCCTCCTTTTTGAAGTCGGTTGAAAATCACGTCATTCAATGCCAGACACTTAACATGGCAAACCCTTGCCAGACACTCTTCATGAAATCATAATTCTACTTACGTTATAGTATAAAAACTGATTTTTATATATAATACTTGGGTAATAATAAGATGATTTATAAGACTGCTAGCATAGCATTTATTACACACCATGAAAAATGTTCCAAACAAGTTGGGAGGCATTTCTAAGAAAATGTTGCAAATGGTCACCAAAGTTGAAGTGCTAAGAATTGACTTTATTTTTGATTTTTGACTCACCCTCGCTTCGCTAGGGTTTATCCCTACCTCAATTCCCTATACAAACTTTCATCTCTATTTTCACCCCCTTAAGGGATGGTTTCCGGAATAAAAAGTATCCAATGTCCTTTCTAAGGTCTTAAACTATCTTCTTACTAAATTTCATCTATACCGGTTCAGTAAATTTAGAGATTACCCCCTACAACGTCACACACTCATAATCTCATAAACTTTACCTCTTTATAATATTAGTATAGATACAGCAGGTAACATTAAAATGCTAATATGATAGAAAGGTAAATTATAGTTTTAAAGATTGACTCTAAAAAAATAAGATAACCTTAGCTATTAACGTCTAACATAATATTTTATTTGTATGCTAAAACACTGATTGTGATCTTTTTTCCGTTATATATGTTTTATGTATTTAATTGAAACTCAGGGTTAGTATATAATTAACTGCTGATGTATTACAATTTCAGGTACCTACTATTATAAAATTTTAGTAATTATTTTAGTATACAATTTAAATAAGTCGCGTGTCACCTGTGCGAACAGACGACGAGCGCTCGGTCGTGGGCGCGGCGCACGGCGGCCCACACGCGGCGGCGCGCCGCCACGTCCACGCCGGCCGTGGGCTCGTCCAGCAGCGCCGTCGCGCCGCGGCACAGCGCCGCCGCCGCGCCCAGCCGCCGCGCGCACCCGCCCGAGTACGCGCGCACCGCGCGCCCCGCGTACCGCGTCAGCCCTGCGACCACGTACACACAATCAATACTCTATTGGTGGCAATCTTGTGCAATCATATATACATTCAAAAATTACATATACATTATTATAATAACAAAAATTATGTCATACATATATAAGTATTTATATTATATTATATATATACGTTAAACGTTACGTAAATAATAAAAGTTTTATTTCCACTTAAATATCAACAAAAAAGAAACATAAACAGCACCATAATAGATTGACTCACAGACTGACTACACTGAAATTTAATTTAATTTAAAATGTAAAATTGACCATTTAAAAGTGCTTTTAAAAGTTTATTTGATTAAAGTATATTTTGATTGATTGATTGCTAACTAACCGACGGTGTCTATCCAGGCGTCGGCGTCGGCGCGCGCGTCGCGCGGCGCCAGGCCGCGCAGCGTCAGCAGCAGCACGAGGTTGTCGCGCCCCGACAGGAACCCGTCCAGCGCCAGGAACTGCGGGCAGTAGCCCAGCGACCGCAGGTACTGCGAACATATTAATACTTTATACATACAATATGAAAAATATTTGTCTTACTATGGGAACTGTGTAATACACGATCATGCAGCCGGAGACAAAGGAAACGCGCGTACTTCGTTGACCGTTTATTTCACCACTGACTGCACAAGTTAATTACACCCACAATATAATAAACATACATATTTTACATTTAATTATTTTTCTTAGTTTTATTTCCATTTTTTGCTCGTGAAATTTCGAATAGTTTAGAGTGTGCTGTAAAGCATTTAAAATTTCGGGAACAACATTTTAAACTGGGTTTTTAAAGTCTCAAAAGTCATGATTATTACAGACGTTGTTTAACCATACATTTAATTAGTATTGCTTTCGTAATACAATTTAAAAATACTTCATTTTTGTTGGTATTGTAATCTATAACAATCCATTGTAAATCTACTTCAGGTAGCTATTTTAGATAATTTAGTTAATTTTAATTTATTAAAATGATCGGGACAATATTCTAAAGAATTTTAAATCAAATATTCACCATCAAACACCTAAAATGATGATGATGTTCTCCTGATCGATTCCGTCTACGGCGGCCAATCTCATTGAGACTAGCCAACTGCGCAGGAGATATTATAGTGCAGCGCGTGTACGCGCAGACACAACGTGCACTCTCTATTCCTGTCACTCTCATACTCCGGTGGGACGACCACTCGACACGACCGGTGAGAGTGTCGGCGCAGGACCGACGGTTTTACGTGCTCTCCGAGGCACGCGGGTGAAACACCGCCATCTTCCTAACTCCGAGCTGTTACTGAGGCTTACTTTCTAGAAATACTCAATAAACTTGGCCCGACCCGGGACTCGATCCCAGGACCTCCGGGTGTGCAGCCGTACATGCTAGCCACTACACCACTAAGGCAGTTAAACCTAAAATACTAAATATAATATCTATACATAAAATAATCAGTATAAAATTTTCGCGAATTTAATTTTATTTTTGGTTCCCGACGTTTCGAATGCTTTACAATCATAGTCACGTGCATGATTTCATGGAAAAAATTCGAAAAGATAGTATTAATTAAGAAAATATTATATCGATATCCAATATATCTATTAAAATAACAACAAAAAAATCAGATGGATTAGATAAATACATACAAAAGAGACAAACAAGATTATTAAAAATATAATAAAAAATCACCTGTCCGGAAAGCATGTTCATGAAATGTCCGTTAGCGAATATGGAGCCCTTTGTAGTGCACTCTACAGCTGTTAGCATTTTGAATATAGTGGACTTGCCCGCGCCGTTAACCCCGAGGAGACCGAAACATTCACCTGATAGAATATTATATTGTTAGGATTAGAATTATTATTAGTTTCAGGTAGTTAGTTATGTATATATCAGGTATATATAGTATATCAGGTAGTTAGGTAGTTTAGGTTCAGTAGTATCTTACAGGAAATAATGGAAAATATACGGGTTGTAAAAATAACAATTTCAAACCAAAGTGGCCTATGTTACTGTCCTTTGGATTAGCAATAAAGTTTAGTGTTTTTACTTATTTTTATTTATTTATTACATAGGTCGCCAACGGAGCATACATTCATACAATTGTCGAACTTATACTATATACAATATCTTATATGTAAGTTCATTTATAAGATGTATAATTTGAAACTAGTAGATAGATTTATTTATCAATGAAAAACATAACTAGCATTTTTGGATTTTTTTAAATAAACTAGCGATTCACCCCCGCTTCGCTAGTTTCGGCCCTAGGTCGATTCCACATACAAACTTTCATTCCCATTTTCACCCCCCTAAGAGTAGATTTTCGGGATAAAAAATATCCTATAACCTTCCCAAGATATCAAACTCATATATCATCATCTTATCAAATTCATCTAAATCGGTCCAGTAGTTTCGGAGCTTATTCGATACAAACAAACAAAAATATATCTTCTTTATAATATTAGTATAGATGGACAAATATAGAAGTAGTGGTTTAAGTGCATAATATGTACATCACGCATGACTAATAAGCTTTTTGTAAATTAAATGATCAAGTATGATGAATTACCCTTTTTAACGGAGAAGCTGACACCTTGCACGGCGCTGCAGGACTTGCCGAGCACGCGCCAGTAGTTCTTGTGCACGTCGTTCACTAACATCGCATCCCGGATTTGATCGGGCGCTGGAATTTACGCTCTTTACACTATAAAGTGACTTGATTTTTACAGATCGACATTGAATTATACATACATATATGTATATTACCCGTGCAAATAAAGAATGGTACAGTAGAGCGTCGATTATCCGAACTAATTGGGGGACATGAGTGTTCGGAAAACCGGTATTTTCGGATAATCGATCGAATAGAAATCAATTGTAAAAAAAATTATTTGCATTTTTTTAATACTTTTATTTAGGCCTGGCCCATAGGAAACAGCTATAAAATAAACTATAAAGCTTAGTAGTACACAAGATATATCGCTTTGAAAAAAAGTCGTCCCCGGACAATTTTTTTCAAATAACTCCTCAATAAACTAAGATATAGATCTAATATTTACTGGATCAATTACTATTAGTGTCCTCTACAATATAACATTGGTTACGGTATAGGTTCCTATCGGGGGTACTTTCGTAATGGGAATATGGCTAGACCCTTTACTTTACTTGGAAGTGACATACGAGTACAATAATTCGCGACAAGTGCGCGAGCACTGTAGCGCGGGAGGCGGGAGGCGGGAGAGACACGCGCGGGTCGAGCGGGCGTATTAGTTCGTATAGGCGGTTGTTCGGTTGATCGACGTTCGGATAATCGACGCTCCAATGTATTTATAAATCATTGTTTTAGATATTCGTCAATGAGGACTATCGTTTCTGGTGCCACAAATTGGTGCCACTGGCAAGTAAGGTCCTATTGCTGTCGTTGAAAAAGTATTTGTTAATGCGACAGAGCTATAAATTTCATATAATAATAATAATTGTTAGCGCGGCTCCAGTTTATCAGGATTTTGTTTTAAATAATAATTAATATATAATAACCAAATAGATAAAATATTGATTTTTCTTAGCGCTGCTTTTAAAGCGATAACATTTGTTGAGCCGTACCGTGTCTATCATAATTCATCAGGAATGGTACAATGTTTACAATATTAGTGAAGATCCACCGTGAAAAGTTCGCCAACATTTAGTGTCATTTGACAGTTCTAGAGACCTCACTCTACACTAGCGCCTCTTGCGGCTTTAAGCGCTATTCCTTATTGTCAACCAATTTTTATGACTTTATTAATAAAATTCATATTTCAAGGTCATATATGCAATAACAAGAAAAATCGATTACTTAGTGAGACTCAATATTATTTTAGTCTGTAAGCCTAATTAAATAACATGTAATGACAATTTAAAAGTTACACAATATATAGTCAGTAGTAGCCCAGTGACGATGCGCTTGCTTTGAAAAACCAAGTGAAGCAGGTTCAAATGCCGGTCTTGCAACTTTGATATTTTCGAGTCATTTCCAACTTAATTACCACTTGTCTTACGGTAAAGGAAAACATCGTGCGGAAACCTGCATGTTTGAGAGAACCTAGCAAGTTAGCAGTCCGCCAACCTGCACTCGGACAGTGTGGTGGACTATGGCCTGATCCCTCAGCAGTGGGCTCTACAATACTCACGCAAGGCGATGGCCTTGTCGACGTACGCCTTCTCCGCGCGCACCATGTCGTCGGCGGCGGGCGCGGGCGCGGGCCGGTAGCGCGCGTTGAACACGCGGTCGTAGAAGCTATTGAATAGCCCGCACTCCGTCAGAATCACTACACTCTGGAAATTACAATATTCATTTAATAAACATTACAATTAAATAATAAAATCATAAATGTATAAATACGTTGGGAGACGTTACATCTAGTTCCATGGTAAGTTACGAGGCTCGTGTTATGGATACCAGATAGTTGATACACTACACATATTTAACTTTAAATACATACATATAAATATAAACACGCATGTCTGAAGTACAAACGTTCGTGCTCATCACACAAATTCAGCGGGACTCGAACCCACGACCTTTGGCATAGCAAGTAGTGTCACTACAAAATGAGCCAAACGTGCCAATGAATAAAGTGTGCTTATACCACGTTTGTGGTATAGAATTTTGGTTTTTTTTTTTGAAGCTAACATAAACCACTCGTCATTATTATTATTTTCAAAATATTGGCATAAGTCCTTCGGTTACCGTGTGCGTTGTGATGTAGTCATGGTACAATTTAATACACACATATACGTATATAATTTACAAAACAAAATCAGATTTGAACCTTCTATTTGTAAAGATCAAAGTACAAAATATATACTTACCATGTAAAATATGTATTGGAAGAACAATACTAGCATAGCTGGCCCGGGACATTTGTCAGCGAAAGAAAAATAGGACTTGGGCTCACTTGTGTCCGCCACTAATTTTAAGGCTTCCACTGTAAAGAAAATTTTATATTTATTAAGAAATAAAATATATTTTTTTAAGGATTTTTTTTTCAATTTAAATTATAGGCATCTACTAACCGTTGGTTAGTCAAAAACACTTCTTTTTAAACAAAAATAACTATGTATGTCTGCTAAAATATAAAAATTAGATAAGGGTCACTTCACGTGAAGCGTTCATTAAAAATGTTGAAGTTTCCGATTTTTGTAATATTTGATCATGTTATAGCGATATATATATATATATATATATATATATATATATATATATATATATATTCGGCTCGACCGATTTTAATGATTTTTTTGTATATGTCGTAAAGTATTTTTCACCTAACCTCCACCCCCCATTTTTTAATCGCGATTTTGGTATTTTTATATAAACAATATGCAAATAATTTAATATTATATAAATACATAGGGGGCGAAACCGACCGAAGCGAGGGTGAGTCGCTATATATCATAATGCAAAAGACTTCTTTTTTAGATTGAACGCGGGCAAAGCCGCGGATTCTGCCAGTATTAATTATATAATAAATAAAGGCGTGGAATTTGTACTCAATTTTCACTGAGTAATTGAGAGGATCATAGCCATATCTGATAAAGACGACTTTTCGCAGAACTTTTAAAGATATAAATTTTTACTATACATTGTTTATATTTATTTATAAACATTTATCAGGCGCACGTTGATAAAGCAAGCCAAGTTTCTTTGCAGATTCGACTACCTAATACCTTTAATGCTTAGCTCATAAAATCTTTTTGGAGAAAAGGAGAATACCACATCAACATCATTTCAGTAGTTTTTGAGATTTGCGAGCACATATGTACATACATACAGACGCTTGTGGGACCTTCTTTTCGTATGTGTAATATAGGTTATGTGTTCTATATTACACGTTCATCCAGTTTGAAAACAATGACAAAAAAACTTTTAAAGCTTACAAACTAATATAATAATTATTATAAATTGAAAAGTTTGTATGTTAGTGTATATGTATTTATTTTTTACTTCTTCACGTTGATATAGACAGACGAATTTGGATTTAATTAGTATACGAATATGACATAAACATACAAGGTGGAAGAATTGTACCTTAAATATTTAACATATAAAATTTTACTCAAGAGAAACATTCTTTATTTTTTAAAATAATAATATTTTTTTTTTAATTTAATTATTTTTTTAAAAACTTACATGAAGCGGCCATGGAACTAACTGAAAATGCAAAAAATAATACGTCAAACTATTTACTCAAACTTTTCCATTGCGTCTATGGTAAGAATAAAATCTCTCCAACAAACATTCTATTATGTGAATTAAATAAAACACACTTGTTAGTTACATGATTTTGTATTTAGCATCAAAAACTCGATTTTAATGGTTTTTTTATTAATGACACTGTAGTGATTATTATCTGCGCCCATATATGCTACTGTTAGTAATTAAATTAAACAAAAGGTGGGGTTGTCTGGATATAATATTACAAATGATTGATATATAAAAACAAACATACACATTTTATAAAATAATATCTCTGCAAATAGTCTATTGTCAACAAGCGCCTTTTAGGTCAACTTTTTTCAGCAGTCTCGGAAAAATATGAACGAGGTGTCATTCGATTCAGAATGGCATAATAGATGATTGAATTTGCAAAAAAAATCAAGTTCCGCTTGCAAAAATTATGAACAATAAAGGAACTAAAAACAAAAAAGGGGGTTTAGTTTTTTGCAAATATCTCAAAAACTAATTGAGATTTTAAAAACCTAAAAAAGTTTTCCTAAAAAGAGTCAACTCCCGGAATTGTAGGACAATATTTATAATTTTCTCAGAAGGATGAAAATACGGCCTAAGACGGGTGCTCTGGCTTGCGCAAAAGCCACGCCTACGCAAATCCTCGTTCATATTTTTCCGAGACTGCTGAAAAAGTTAACCTAAAAGGCACATATTGAATAGACTAAAAAAGTGGCGCTGACATGTGACGTAATTCAAAAATCGATACTTCCAATTGCCTAAACACAAATTCAAACTAATACGCAAACCACATAAAGTAGTTTTTTAAACGAACAGCAATGAACACAAAAGATTTGAAAAAATCGCAATTCAATTTCGAACAATTCTTTTGAGGACACTTTTGAGACGATATTTGCGTAACTTGAGTTTTTGTATATCAATATTATAAATACAATAGTAACCCAAAAAATCGTGTACTTACTCAATTTGTTGAATCTAGCTACTTCAGTGGCTTGCATGGTGGCGATGGTAAATGTATGGGGCGGCATCACGTACGCCGCGACGACTAATATGAATCGCAAGAATGAATTCTGATCATCTTTTGGTATCTGGGACAAGCCTGGCGTTATCACTCCTGGAACATCGATCGTGATGAGCGAGTCATTCTTAAAAAGGTGTTTTTTTCGTTTCAACGGTAAGTATAGAATAGACTATTTATATTATGAGATTTAAAAAAAACTGATTTTAGTAAAAATATCTTTATTTTTCTTTTAATTTTCTTGTATACAAAACTTGTCCTGACAATAACAAACACAAAAAAAAAGAATTATCGAATTTGGTGCAGTCGATCGGAAGTTATACGCGTACATACATTTCGGTGATTCATTTTTATTTATGTAGATAGGAGAAGCAGGTACACAATACGTGTTTTTTCGTGTGTCTATTACGTGGTATATTGTGAACCGATCTTCATGATTCTTTTTTCAAATGACTCTGTTATTATCTTACTTTAATAGCTTTTAATTTTATTTTAGGCTGAAACTTTTAAAATCAATTGGCAATTTAATATGGGGTTAAAGTACCTGTAATAATAATTAATATGCAGAAACTATAATATAAATTATAGTGTATTATAACTTAAAATCCAACAATTATAATTATGATAGAAAATGTTGAAATTTTCTTTCAAATTGTGGAGACGAATTTAAATGAATTTCACGGATTTTAAATAATTAGAATTTACCAAAAGCCATAATAAAGCCGATTAACATAACGCCAGCGCCGCGCTCGCCGAAGTTGAAGCTCACGAGGTACATCAGCGCCAGAAACGCGACTATGCCCAGCATGAGGATCACGAACAGTGTTCCTGAAACATGTTCATATTAAGTCCAAGATAATCTGTAGCGAGAGTTTGTGAACATGTTTGGATGAATGTTACTCGATTAAATGTACGTTGAACACATTTAAATCAATTGGATTTAATTTCTAAACACATCAACAGATGGCGCTGAAAAGAAACTTGAAGGAATATAATATTGCTATTCGGCTTGTACAATACAATTTTATGAATTTATTTAAATAACTATGGTTAAGGATAAAATTACTTCGTTTTTGTCAATCGCTTTTTGGTCCGTGTTATTGAAGTTTTGAAACGAGTAAATACTGTTTATTACTACTATATTTACAACAACGTCAATCTCATCTAAAACCTCGTCCTGGTCGATACTGCCGCCCGCCCTGCACTAGCGTGTTTGCCACCACGTCAGTACTGTTAAAGCTGTAGAACGAGTCAACACTAACCACTACTAGTTTTTCTATAATGCCGTCTCACCCAAGAAGTCACCCTGGTCGATAGTGCCATCCTGTTCTAGCGCGGTCGCTTCCACATCACTGAACTAGAAAGAGTAAGCACTATCTACTACGTCCGTGTAATGCCGTCTCACCCAAGAAGTCTGGCTGGTTGATAGTGCCGTCCTGGTCTAGCGCGGCGGCCACGACGAGCGCGGGCAGCACCAGCGCCAGCGCGTGCAGCGCCGCGTGCGCCAGCAGCGTGGCAGCCCAGTGCAGCGCCGGCGCGCATCCCGCCATTACGTGCAGGTGGCGCGCGCCCGACGCCCGCTCCTTGCACGGCAGCGACACGTTGTTTACCACCGTGGTTAGGATTACTGTGTGTGTGGAAATAAACATCCCTACAGTCATATTTTATTAGATGGGTACATCCCTACGGTCCCTTTGATACTTAGTTTGGAATAGATAGACAATATATACATAGGTATGATAAGTTTTATAACCTTTGCTTGAGAAATGATTGATTCCCCATACATACTTCCACCCCCCTTATGGGATTATTTACTGGACAAAAACTATCCTATATCCATCCTAGGATCTCAAACTATCTCCATACCAAATTTCACCTAAATTGGTTCAGCGGATTAGGCGTGAAAAGGTAACAGGCAGACAGACAGTTACTTTCGCATTTATATTAGTATGGAATAAAATATCACGAATATTTATGTCAAATAAAATTATACTATCGGATTCACGTTATGTTATGTTCTTTGTTTTGAGACTTATAGGCGTGCCATTTGGAAACAGTTTACTCCTTCAATATCGTGTAGAATGGAGAAGACACGGTAGATATTGAGAATTTATCGGTTTAAAAAAGAGATATTCACTATCGGATTCATATTGAGAAAATTCCGTTAATATTGTTTTATTCGTACAGTATCAATTTAATTTTAACAAAATTGTTGTTACATGCAAGGGTTATCAAAAATACCAATTTTAATGACACCTCGTGGCAAACTACAGTTACATTATACAAATCAGAACTATCACGTATATACGTATCGTTGGGTTTTGTTTCATTCATAACATTTCCCTCCTACACTGTATAACTGATACTACACAAAAGTATATATATTTTATGAATATATACAATATATATAATTGTACGCCTTTCTAATGTCACATTGTTTTTACTTTTTAAAAATATCTATGAAAAACGTAATTTATAAAAAGGTCTTAATCAAAAATTAAAAAGTATGAAAAGGATGTGTGTGTATATATGTGTGTCTACATCAGTATGACAACCGGATACGCCTGAAACGCGCAACATACCGCGCGGTAACCCCATCTAGATGTATGCGTGAGACGACTGTATAGACTAGTAGATTGTGACGAAAGTGTTTTCGTCATTACATACATTTGCCACCTCTACAATCAACAATTATTATTATATTTACGATTTAACGTTTAGTGTAGATTTCTCAGAGATGAGATATTTTCCCACAGGAAAAAATCCTATATGTTGACCCGGATAACCAGCTATCATTATATCGAATTTCATCAAAATCCCTCCAGTGGTTTTTCCATGACGCGATTACAGACAGCAAACGGATAATAATTCTAAAAACTAATTTTCCAAAAAATATTTAAAGTACAGATTCGGCTTAGTTAGGATTTCATTATATGTATAGATCACCCTTAAGTACAATTTGAAACTTTTTGGAAATAAACATCCCTACAGTCATATTTTATTAGATGGGTACATCCCTACGGTCCCTTTGATACTTAGTTTGGAATAGATAGACAATATATACATAGGTATGATAAGTTTTATAACCTTTGCTTGAGAAATGATTGATTCCCCATACATACTTCCACCCCCCTTATGGGATTATTTACTGGACAAAAACTATCCTATATCCATCCTAGGATCTCAAACTATCTCCATACCAAATTTCACCTAAATTGGTTCAGCGGATTAGGCGTGAAAAGGTAACAGGCAGACAGACAGTTACTTTCGCATTTATATTAGTATGGAATAAAATATCACGAATATTTATGTCAAATAAAATTATACTATCGGATTCACGTTATGTTATGTTCTTTGTTTTGAGACTTATAGGCGTGCCATTTGGAAACAGTTTACTCCTCCAATATCGTGTAGAATGGAGAAGACACGGTAGATATTGAGAATTTATCGGTTTAAAAAAGAGATATTCACTATCGGATTCATATTGAGAAAATTCCGTTAATATTGTTTTATTCGTACAGTATCAATTTAATTTTAACAAAATTGTTGTTACATGCAAGGGTTATCAAAAATACCAATTTTAATGACACCTCGTGGCAAACTACAGTTACATTATACAAATCAGAACTATCACGTATATACGTATCGTTGGGTTTTGTTTCATTCATAACATTTCCCTCCTACACTGTATAACTGATACTACACAAAAGTATATATATTTTATGAATATATATAATATATATAATTGTACGCCTTTCTAATGTCACATTGTTTTTACTTTTTAAAAATATCTATCAAAAACGTAATTTATAAAAAGGTCTTAATCAAAAATTAAAAAGTATGAAAAGGATGTGTGTGTATATATGTGTGTCTACATCAGTATGACAACCGGATACGCCTGAAACGCGCAACATACCGCGCGGTAACCCCATCTAGATGTATGCGTGAGACGACTGTATAGACTAGTAGATTGTGACGAAAGTGTTTTCGTCATTACATACATTTGCCACCTCTAGAATCAAAAATTATTATTATATTTACGATTTAACGTTTAGTGTAGATTTCTCAGAGATGAGATATTTTCCCACAGGAAAAAATCCTATATGTTGACCCGGATAACCAGCTATCATCATATCGAATTTCATCAAAATCCCTCCAGTGGTTTTTCCATGACGCGATTACAGACAGCAAACGGATAATAATTCTAAAAACTAATTTTCCAAAAAATATTTAAAGTACAGATTCGGCTTAGTTAGGATTTGATTATATGTATAGATCACCCTTAAGTACAATTTGAAACTTTTTGGATTTTTTTTTTAAATGAACGACTATATAAAACAAACACAATACAATACTTACTGAACACAATTCCGAATGCCCATAAGCTAGTATTTATTTGATATTTCCCCTCGTCCGGCTCTTTCTGTGTAGACGTAGGTCTTCGGTATGTTTCTATGGGGTTGTTGTAGGTGGTGATGGCGTGCGCGTCGGACAGCGATGTGGCCAGTAAGTTGGATAGCAGGTTCAGTGCAACGGGCGCCGCGTGCCGGACTACTGTCGTGAATAATACCTAAAATGTTATAATAAAATGTTATTCATGAAGTGAAACTTCTTTAGTATCATTGTCATTTGAAACTCTATGAAACGAAAATGCGATGCTAAAAAGAGACAAACATATAAATATATATGATTAAGCCGGCGAGAGAATGAGATAGAATACATTGCCATGTTGCCATGGTAACAGTTGTTATTGTCAAATATATATTATATTCTTTCCGTATATGATATTCTATAAATATATTATTGGAGTATGCCTAATATGCCTTATTTAATTATTGATTTGTTTTAATTTAATTGCGATGTTTGCCAAAGTAGTTTTACTTCAACCGCGCGTAAAGGTAGCACACAATTTTTTATTACAATTATGATAGTCCGATATATCGATATTATCTTGTATTTAGCTCTTTTTAACGTCCCACTGCTGAGCATGGGTCTCCCTTCAATACAAAGGGGGTCGGGTCATAGTCCACCACGATGGCAAAGTGCGAGCTGACTTTATGTCTTTTGAAAACTTGCTAGGTTCTCTCAGACATGCAGGTTTCTTCACATTTTCCTTACCCGTAAGGCAAGTGGTAATCATGTTAGAAATTAGAAATAGAATTGAAGGTAGTGGGTAGGCCATTGGTAACGCGCTCACTTAGGACACCGAGTGAAGCGGATTCAATCCCAAGTCTAGCTACCTATGATATTTTCATGTGTGAATTATTTTTAACATGATATTATATAAAAATTAAAAAAATTGTGATTCCAAAATTCGATCCGAAATCGAAATCTTACAAAGTAATAAGACTGTACTTACCGTAGCGTGGGTATCGTTGAGCTCAATCCCAACTAAGTATTTGTTATACTCCGTTACGTCCGCATATCCGGCTCGAAGGACCGCTGTAAATGTAATAATTATTCTAAATTGCATTCAACCACTAAAACAATTTTCTAATATTATTTCTTAAACTTTCTGTATTTGTTTGTTTGTAAAAAAATACCTCAGTCTTAAGAAGAAGTTATGAAAGAATCTCAGCGAATTTCTTTCGGCATTTTCTAGAACATTACTTTCTGCAATTTGATGCTTATAAGTACTATCGGTTAGTAATAGTATAGGGGAACATTTTTTTTTCTAAAATAATACATCTGATTTACTGATAGGAAGATAAGATATGAGACAGACGTTGTGGATTGAACAATAGGTATAAGAAAAAGTGAAAAGAAAATGTAATTTATTATTTCGTGGTTTATTTTTCATCTCTTTGTTTATATCTATCTATGTTAAATTAGTTTCCAAATTTTTTTGTTGATAACATTAAAACTCGTCAAAAGCTACTAAACAAAAAAATTGATTGAGAAACAAAGGAGAAAAAGATACTGAACTGTTTTGTCTTTGTCTATTTATATATCCATACTAATATTATAAATGTGAAAGTGTGTTTGTTTGTCATTCTTTCACGTCTAAACAGAGTGACGGATTGGCGTGATTTTTTGTGTGGAGATAGTTGGAGGACTGGAGAGTGAAACAGGCTTATTTTTACCACGGAAGATTATCTCATTCCCACGGAAAAACACATTATAATACAACCCACAACAACTCATCATACCTATGTATATATATAATATATAGTCAGTTCCATTAACTGCCTCGGTGGTGTAGAGGCTAGCATGTACGGCTGCACACCCGGAGGTCCAGGGTTCGCGTCCCGGGTCGGGCCAAGTTTAGTTATTGAGTCTTTCTGTATATTAAACCTCAGTAATAGCCCGGAGTTAGAAAGATGGCGGTGTTTCATCCCCGTGCCTCAGAGAGCACGTAAAGCCGTCGGTCCTGCGCCTGAACTCTCACTGGTCGAGTCGAGTGGTCGTCCCACCGAAGTATGAGAGTGACAGGAATAGAGAGTGCACGTTGTGTCTGCGCGTACACGCGCTGCACTATAATATTTCCTGCGCAGTTGGCTAGTCTCAATGAGATTGGCCGCCGTAGACGGAATCGGTCAGGAAAAAAAAACATCAGTCTATTCCATACTAATGTTAAAACGTATCTAGGGTAGAACCCGAGCGAAGCGAAAGTGAGCCGGTAGTACAGATATATATTGTAACCCTCATTAGACTCACGCTCTATGCAGTCGTATATTTGTTAAATATTATATAGTACAAGTATTGCTCTCACCTGCACTAACATCATCTGTGCTTTCAAACACAACATGCGGATTCCTCTTCTTTATGGCATTTATTTTAAAAATATCTGAGTTAATATTATAGAGTACTTTCCTATCCTCAACTTGGTCGTACACATTCAGATCCAAGGCTATGGTTTTGTCGACATCGGGCGCGCCCGCGGTGAAATTGTTGTTTGTTATCAGGGTGAAGAAGCACATCAGTAAAATTGGCGATATAACTTGCTGCAACAAAATTGTTTTGAATTAATTAAATTGAAGATTGAATTCAATATTTTATTTGATTAAATAAAAACTTGCGTAAATGATAAATGAAAAACATTGGTTTTATTTTCTATGTTTTTTTTTCTAAAAATGTAAATCTTTTTTTTCTTCACTAATAATGTAAATGTCTAAGTCATTTATTTTGTACGGCGATGAAGTTACATAAATAATCATATACAAACTTAACTTGTGTTTGAAAATAAAATATCATACATTACAACTTTTGAAATATCTTTCATAACAAGTATAAAAATGAATTCAATGAAATTATCTGCATAAAAATTATAAATGTGAAAGTTTGTGAGTAAGGATGTTCGTTACTTTACTGTCGCGCCAGAACGGCTGAACGGATCTGGAGGAAATTTGGCGGAGAGATAGATTATAGCCTGGAATAACACATAGGCTACTTTTTATCCCGGAAAAATGTATGGTTCCCGAGAGATAGATTTGTTTTTGTTTTTTCATTTGCGAAGCGAGGGTGAGCCATTAGGACTTACTATATATTTTTTTGGTTATAACAACATAGGTACCTTAAATATTTATTAAACAGTAAAGTAGCGAAACATTTTGTTTAAGGGTCATTTTTTAAATTTATTAATTAAATAAATAAATTAAATTATTAATATTATTTTTATTAATTATAATAATAAAAGACAGGTCGATACGATATAGACACAGATATAACAAAAATAATACTATAAAATATGATTTAGTTAAAGATTTTTACATACCATTATCAAAAACGATATTTTCTTCGACCAAACATATTTCAATTGCCTCTTTAGAAGCTCAATCAGTTGGTTTTTGTACAGGTGGAGGCCAGTCAATATTTTGTATGTGGGCTCTGTAAAAATAACACAATATATTCCCATGGTAAACAAATAAATTTGAACTGAATTAATATAAAATGTATTATTGTTTCATGTTTGAGAGGATGTCTGTTTGTTACTCTTTTACACAAAGAGAACTGAACGGATTTTGATAAAACTTTACAATAATAATATATAACATCAGAGTAAAACATAGGCTATATTTTATAAAGACAAGGTAATAAGTAATTTAAAATTTATAAACTTATAATAAGTATGAAAAACGTGAGAGGAGCCGCGCGAAAAAGTAAGAAATAAAAATAAAACTACCTTTTCCGGTTATTTTGCAGATTTATTTTGATTTTTGGTTCCCGAAGTTATGAATTAAATTAAATGAATATCCGAAAAGATAGTTTTATTTAAAACGTTGAATATTTGTGTAAATCTAAGAAAGTATGTATAAAAAATAAAAATAACTGGATATGATCAGTACCAATAGACTCTCCATCGACCGCGTCATCGGAGAAAGTGGTGGTGACGTCACTGCATAGTCTTTAAACAAAATATGTAGTTATTATAAAAAAAATAAACAATGATAGTAATACTTAAAAAAATCATATAAAAAGATTCAAGTTAACTTATTTGCTTAGAACTAACTAACAATTTACGTCTAATTAAATAGACGACAGACGGCTTTGATTCGTAAATTTGTCGCCTTAGTTGCTTATTTATTCAAACTACTTGGTGTACTTTACAGCAGCGTTTTTTCCATCTATTATAAAAGATTTATTTCTAAGATTTATATACATATATAGTTAAATTTTAAACTCAAATGTGTACTTTATATAAGACTTGATGACTTGAAAGATCAATAATTTTCGGTAAATTAGTTGTTAGGATAAATAAGCACCGAGACGAAGAACTGCTAAACTATTATATTAAACAAATGGAGCAAAAAATCATTTTGCATTTAATAAAACAATTTCCAGAGATTATAAACATGCCGTATTTGAAACAAAATAATAATTACAAAGAAACAGGTTAAAGTTAAATAAACTTTGCGCATGAACTGTGGTAATTAAAACCTAATAAAATATAACAAACTTACTTTAAAAACACCTCTTCCAACGTAGAAATTCCGACACCAATAGTATTAATGCCAAGCTCCGATCTGTGGGACTCGAGTTGGTTGAAGAGTCTGGGGAACTTGTCACTGCACCTCGATGGCAGGTTGTAAGATATAGAGTTAAGAGAGGTTTCCTTTAAAGAAGCTTCTGGAATTGTCGACAATATGGCGGCCGTGATGGCGGGCTCGTTGGGTATACCCACTGTGGTGAACGATAGACGATAGCCGGTGCCTGTATTAAAAATATATTGTGGTTATGTTATGTGTTATGTTATAATCTAGTTAGTGTAAGTGACGCCGCAGTTCTAATTGGATGTAAAAATAAATAAAATATATAAATAAATAAATGATCATTCAAAATTAAATTATTTCCATATTTCATATATCAAAAATCAATCACTCAAAAATGTATTTTTTTTTCAAATGCTTAAAAATGCTTACTATTTGAGCTCTCACTGTGAGTGTACCGGGTTATCGTCCCATACGACTTTAACATTGAAAGGATAATGCAATATAATATCTACTGCAAGGTGAATGGTGTTGGTGCGCGAGTGCGTGTATGTGCGTATGCATGTGTGTTTATCATTCCTTTACGCTAAAACAACAGGACGGATAGAGATAAAATTGAGTACACAGTTTACGTTCCCTAAATAAATATTGTTAAATACCTAAAGACGCATTCGAGTAAAACCAGGTACAGTCAGTAGCACAATAATAATAATGTTCCCCTGAATAATTTCGGCCACGGCGGCCAATGTAGACTAGCCAGCGTAGATATTATAGTGCAGTGCGTGTGTCGGTATACGCCACACAGCGTGCACTGTGCGTGTAACCTTTACGCGCGGTTGAAGCAAAACTTCTTTGGCAAATAACGCAATTAAATTAAAACAAATCAATAATAATTAAATAACGCATATTAGGCATATTACAATCATATATTTATAGGTAGATAGGAAAGAATATAATATTGTATATCATTTCTCAGACAATAACAACGGTTACCAAGGCAACGAATAGTTATCAGCTTACTTCATCACGTCGCTTTTTGGCTGTCGGTGTGCGCGCGCGGATCGAAAAAATGTACTCTCATACTTTTTTCCAAACTTGCCAAAAGAAGTTTAACTTGAAAAATAAATTAAAAAAAAAGAGTCACCGAGCGCGCGCTTGAGGCGCATGGTGGAGGCGCGGCAGCGCAGGCGGCCGCCGCGCAGCGCCGCCACGCGCTCGCCCAGCGCCTCCGCCTCCTCCATGAAGTGCGTGCTCAGCAGCACCGTGCGCGACTCCCGCAGCGACTGTACATAGTATAAAACAAACCTCGCTCAGTTCCCACTGTCTGTCTGTAACTATGTATGCTTGCTTACATCTTTAAAACTACGTAACGGATTGCGGATGCGGCTTTTTTTTTATAGATAAGAGTGATTCAACAGGAAGGTTTAATATGTATAATACATGCAAATTATAGTCCAGAAAAGCCTAGAAATTCAAATATTTGTATTTCATACTAACCGTTACAACGTATCTAGGGACGAACCCGAGCGAAGGGAGGGTGAGTCGCTAGTTCGTACTATAGTACAAAAATCCATTGGCAGTGGTAGCCCAGCGGTAACGCGCTCGTTTGGGAAACCGAGTGAAGCGGGTTCAAATACCGGGTCTCGCACTGATATTTTCATGTGCGAATCATTTCTAACATGATTACCACTTGCCTTACGGTGAAGGAAAACATCGTGAGGAAACCTGCATGTCTGAGAGAACCCTTCAGGTTTTCGAAAGACGTGTGAAGTCCGCCAACTCGCACTTAGCCAGCGTGGTGGGCTATGGCCTGATCCCCCCGTATAAAAAGGAGGTCCGTGCCCAGTAGTGGCACTTTAAAAAAAAGGGGGCAGTAGGTGATTACTGCACCTTTGCCCAATAGTGAGAAAGTAAAAACAGCTGAATACAGGTAATTGATTGATTTTACTGTTTTTTTGTATTGATAGTAAAGCATGAGTTGTATGTTAACAATATATAAAGAAAAAAAATCGGGATCTTACTCTGAAAATATTTATCGATAAAATTAACTGAATGATAAATTAAATAATATAAGCAACCTCGCTTTCCCATGTGAGTCGCCAGCACTCACCAAGAGCAGGTCCCACAGCTCGCGGCGGGTCTCGACATCGAGGCCGGCGGTGGGCTCGTCCAGCACCAGCACGCGCGCGTCGCCCGCCAGCGCGCAGCCCAGCTGCAGGCGCCGCTTCATGCCGCCCGACAGCTGCCCACTCTTGCTGTTCAGCTTGTCCGACAGTCCCAGACGTTCTAGAAGTTTCGTCGCTGATTGTTTCGCTTCGGTATACGTTACGCCTTTGAGCTGGAGTCGATTTATTTACATGTAATGTTAAAGTAACTTTTATGTAGAAAGAAGGTTTGTTTAATACTTTTAAATTTTCATTAAAAAAAATTTATCAATAACGAAGTTCCTTTTGCTGTCCGCCCTTGACTAATAATTAGTTCTTACACATTGTCACGAGTACCAGGGTAACATAGAGATCGAGCAACGTACATTTTACACGTTTTAGCTCATCTAAAAAAAGCCTGCACAGAGTGCACACGAAGTTCTTACAACATACACTCCTCAACAATTATGATCGCCTGGTACGTTTGTCACAAGTACTAGAAAACCACGAACTTCAAGTGCTCATACATATGTAGGGCCCCACCAGAGTGCATACGACCTCCATAACATAATAAGCTCGTCTGGTACGTGTGATGACGTAATATAATAAAGCATAACCTTTTTACTTTTACATCAACAACATTGTTCCAAAATTAAATTAAAGTTTTAATAAATTAGTTTTTTTTCGTTTTTTTTTTATTTGTAAAGTTTTAAACAATCTCTGCCCAATTGCCACGCTTTGAAGCCATTAACAAGATAATTAAATTGAATAAACTCGTTACTAGTAGCCATTTAAAAGTTGAAATGTCTATTCACCTCCTGTCATATTCATGGTATTAAGTTACAAATATAGTGAGAGCTCGTAAGCCCTTCGAGTACTAACATCGTTAGTGTTACTATCGTTACTACATTGGGAAGTTTTCATTACATTATCTATACTAATATTATAAAGGGGAAAGTTTGTGAGTTTGTGAGGTTGTAGGGGTAATCTCTGGATCTACTGAACCGATTTAGATAAAATTTGGTAAGAAAATAGTTTGAGACCCTGGGAACATAGCATACTTTTTATCCCGGAAATCATTCATCCCTTAAGAGGGTGAAAATGGGGATGAAAGATTGAAGCGAGGGTGAGTCGCTAGTAAGTCAATCTAATAAAATCATAAGCTTTACAAGCCTTTTTAAAGCATTACAAGCCACTCACCATAGTAAAGAAAATGACGTGTTCCAAAACAGTGAGATCGGGAAAGAACAAGTTGTGCTGCGGACACAATCCAAGGTATCTACGCATTTCTTCCTTTTGAGTTTCCGTGTCTAAACCTTCCACGTACACTTTGCCTTCAGTAGCTTTTAGCATACCTACAAATTGTAAAATAAAATTATAAGCTTACTAAAAGAGATAGCAGCTCGTGATAATATTATAATGCTGATTATTTTGAAAAAGATTTCAAAACCATAATGGCGTAGGAATGATTTTGATTGATTTTCTTATTTTATTTGCAAGTTGTACTCCGTGCGAGAATCGAATTTGCAAACATAAAATAAGGATAAAATTTTTATTGAAAAATACATTATATTATATTGGACATACCAGTAATAATCGACATGAGTGTCGTTTTGCCGGCCCCATTGTGCCCCAACAACACGGTTATTTCTCCTTTGTACACGTCAAGTGAAACGTTGTTTAGAGCACGCTGCTTATCAAACACCTAAAAGTTATGTAAGTTAGTATTAAAATATCAATTTATTATACGCAATTTTGTTCATGATCTATGATTTTATACGAAAATCCTATAGAAAAAACACTTTCAGTTTTTCCCGATTTTCCGAATTTTCCGGATAACTTTCAATATTTTGCTCCAGCCGTCCTAAAATTATATGCTTACCAACGAATGGCATTTAATTTTTATTTGTATAAATAGACTAGCGACTCGCCCTCGCTCGGGTTCGTCCCTAGGTGATTCTTTTAATTGACATAAATTTTTTATTTATGAAACAAATACTAAATGTTAAGTGAAGCCACAATACATTAGTGAATACCGCACCCAAATCGGTTTGCCGTTCCTGAGATTAGCGCACACAAACAGACAAAATTTCTAAAAATCATTGTTTTGGTCTTTGTCTATTGCATTAAAAAGGCCACAGGATCAGTTACACTTTTATTATATATATAGATGTAAAGGTTTGTCAAGAAATTTGAATATTTGACACTGAATCAAGTGTCAAATGTTCAACTAAATTGAAGGAAATTTGGCACACAGATAGACCAAGAGAAAATAAAAAGTGTTGTTATTTTAAAGGGATGAAATTAATTAATTTAAAAAAAAAACAAATTTGTAGTCAGATTCAAATATGTAAGTGATATATACGATATATACGAAACATATAAAATAACATTTAAAATTTATGAAACAATTGTAAATTACCTTAGAGACATTTACAATTTTTATGCCCACTTCTACATCTTTGGGCGGAGGCTCAAAAAACTCTGGGTCGACGTCGTCATCCAACTCCTCTAACTCTTCTTGCTCTTCTGGAGTCACTCTCTTGCTGCTCCAATATTGTCTCTATGGTATTTTATAAAGCGATATATTTATGGTATTTGAAGTAGAAGATAGAAGATACAAAAAATTAAATACAAGAAATTAGTTTTTTTTATTCAATTTTTTTAGACATAATAATTAGAAAAAAATAATACAATATCAATAAATGTTTTTTTTGTTTAAATTTCAATATAAATCATTCTAATATTATCGATGCAAAGCAACGGTCTTTGACTGTATAAAAGTTATCGGAGTGTGTTGCTTAGTACAAGTTACCATTTCCTGAAAAAACTCAATGCATTAGAGTGAAATCCGGAATGGAGAAAGCTTACACCCGTTTATGAATTTGAATTTGTGCTTAAAGTTTATCGATGCCGGGATTTGAACCCACCAGGGAAGCGCAGCCGCGAGTCAAAAGTAATCATATTACCATTATAAATATAAAAGTTTTGATGTGCGTGTTTGTTACATTCTTACTTTCACATTGAAACAGCTGGACGGATTTGGATGAGAAATACACAGATAGACTAAGACCTGGAGTAACATATAAGTTACTGTTAGTAAGAAAATTCGCCAAAAGGGGAATTTGCCTGTATTACAAACACAAAAGCTAGATATACATTTCAACTAATTAATGGCAGTGGTACTCCAGTGGTAACGCGCTCGTTTGGAAAACCGAGTGATGTGGGTTCAAATCCCGGATCTCGCACCTCTGATGTTTTCATGTGCGAATCATTCCCAACATGAATATCACTTGTCTTATGGCTAAGGAAAACATCGTGAGGGCAACCGGCACGTCTGAGAGTACCTAGCAAGTTTTCCAAAAATGAGCTCAGTCCGCCCCGCACTTAGCCAGTGTGGTGGCCTATGGCTCGATGCTCCTAGTATTGAAGGAAGGCCCACCCTCAGCAGTGGGACGTTAGAAAGGACTGAATACAACAATTAAAACTTAGCTTACCTTACAAACAAAGTTCCACGACAATGCCTGTCCGTAGGGGCCGGGCCTCACGTGCGACAGGTACCAGGACAGGGTGAAGAATATCACCGATTGTATTATGAGACAAAAATAGCAGGATAGAGCTGAACCCGTCTGGGCATTGTGACTATTCACAAAGTTGCTGAATTTTAAGCCCATATCTGTGAAATTATATTCAAATTAATGTTGTAAAAATGTTTTAAATTACACAATTGGGATTTTTACAGAGATCTAGTTTTATTGGGAGCTTTTACTTCCATGGATCTATTAATAACTTCAAAGTATAAATGTGGTATTTTAAAGTGAATCTGTAGTATCTATATAGAACATTATCCATGTCAAATTTCAAGGATCTTTGCTTCAGTGAATAAATTACACATAGGCACCGACTGGTCCTTTATTAATATTTGCATGCAAATTATCAATTAATATAAAAAAGTAGGCATTACAAACATCAAATATCAGTAAATAATAAAATAAATTGTAAACAGTTAAACAATATGTCAAAACAAAAAGTATTATCACTATTTTTCGGATAAAATATAAAATAAACAAAATTAGGTTTTTATATAGCAATGCATGTGATCTTAGGGCTTAAACAAGAAGTCATCTTACAATTTTTGAAAAATGATTTAGAAATCTAAATTTTTTTATGATCTAACACGATTAAGATATCTATTCACCAAAGTTTATAGAAGATATGTTCTTTAAATCTTATATATACGTATTTAAGACTAACCGAATTGTTCCAAAGCAGTGACTTCTTTCCAAAACCAGTCCATGGGCACATGGGGCAGGAGCCCGCAGAGGGGCAGCGCCCACCGCGGTACTGTATACGAGCCGAGCAGTCTCGCCGGCACATCCAAAAATATGTACGCGAAGGTAGCTATTGTTACTGTGTATTGAGCTAGAATAATTAATATAATATTGGTTTTTCAGCGTATCCAAAGAAGAGTGAGGGTAGGAATCATAAAAAGCTAAAAAAAAAGTTGAATAATATTTTGCTTCTTATAAAATATTTATCTGAGATAATGTTATTAAAATTAATATCAATTTTTGTATTTGCAGAAACGCATGTCATATACATATATATACAAGCATACAAAAGATGTTGCTCAATCAGTCTCCAAATTTTAAATTATAGTTGCCTGATTGATGGTAAATGGATAATATCCATGTCATGAATATTATTCATCTCATCGGTATGAAAAATTGTGGTTACTAAATTAATGCAATGAAAAGACATGGTTTTTTATGTCACATATTATTAGTTGCAAGCCCATCATTTCCCATGGATCCAGATAATATGGATTGTTACCGTTCCAACTTGGCCTTATATATATATGGAATATTTGATGCAAGAGTAATGTAATAGTGAAAAGCAAGCATACATATAAGCACATTGCATATATCTCCTCCATATAATCCATATTGGGTCAGCGAAGTCTGATTATTTTTTGTTATATTTTTTTTTTTGGAAAATTTATATGTATGTACTATGTATGTATATGTTTGTTTTTTTTTCTTTATTGCGGCTATAGAGTATCACTTCGGCTATTTCTGATCTATAGTGATCACAGCATTCATGTATGTTTGTTACACTTTCACGTCAAAACGGCTTGTCGGATTGTGATAAAATTTAGTACACAGATCAACTATGACCCGGAATAGCGCATAGACTATCGAAGTGAGGGTACATCGCTAGTAAAATAAAAATAAAATTAATAAGGCTTACTGTTATTAGCAATGTAGCTGCACATGAATGCCATAGACACAACAGATATGAAGTACAAGATGAGCATCAAGAATATCAAGAATGGGTTGGAGTTCGATATAAGAGGTTGCACCGTCACGCTCACGAGTATCGTCGGCACCACGCTGAACACGATGCCCGCCGGCATCGAGTTCAACACATGTGTCAAGCTAAGCATATTGTTGGAAACGCCCACCATTTTTATCAGCTCCTAAAATTAAAATATCTAAATAAAACTATCTTTTCGGGTTATTCCACGGATTAAAAGCGCGCTCAAATGTCCAAATTAGCGCTCATTCGGTGAAGACATATTTTTTGTCGCTGAATGTGTATCTACTAGTCTTTCGATCGATAATTATTATACATTTCTCAGGTATGTTATACCATAGCGTATGAAACCTTTACTCTTTTGCTTTTATTATAAGCTACAAAAGGTTAGATTTTTTATGTATATTAAGGAAAACATGATATACAATAAACAATGATATAATTTAGTGTGATGTAGACTGAATATGATTTAAACACTTCAATGATTTGTTTTTGTATATTTTGAACTATACTTGTGTTAATTTTATAGCAATAAAATTACTATTCGTATTTATATTCTGTTTTTTCTGTACCTGAATTCCGGTGACGCGCTCTTCTAACAGCCTCGCCACAAGGAACACGAAAACTAGCAACAGCGATAACCAGCAAAATACAGCCAGTATTTGGCATATGACTGCAGCTACATGGTTTTGTTTCGATGTCTTATAAGGGAATTCTTGTAAAATAACGTTCTGTAAAAAAACAAAAAAAACATAAATTTTAAGCGCCAAAAAGCAGCCATGTGCTTATCTAGTCTTAATTCTATAATTTGTCAAAACTGCTCAGTACTCAAATTTGAACGTTAAATTATATCACTATTTTTTTAAACAAAAAAAAAGAATCATAAAAGAATATGCTAAGGCTCATAAAAAGGCAAAGGACAAATGTCTGCGGTCACTATTTTGTTCCTGACACAAACCTGAGGAACTTCTTTTTCAACGCCTAATATTTTTAAGTAGCTTGAATCGATTGCCCACTGTAGCTTCATGAAGCGCTCATAGACAGTACCTGTAATTAATACGTTCTTAGATTTACGCGAATATTTGACATTTTAAATAAAACTATCTTTTCGAAATAAATCCGCGAAATGATCCGTAAAGATAGTTTTATTTAAAAAGTGCCTGTAATTAAATTTATTATTAACCCTTGACCACACAGTATACTTTTGTCTTTTAATGCCTCGGTGGTGTAGTGGCGAGCATGTACGGCTGCACACGCGGAGGTTCTGGGTTCGAGTCCCGGGTCGGGCCAAGTTTAGTTATTGAGTCTTTCTGTATAATGAGCCTCAGTAACAGCCCGGAGTTGGGAAGTTGGCGGTGTTTCACCCCCGTGCTTCGGAGAGCACGTAAAGCCGTCGGTCCTGCGCCTGAACTCTCACTGGTCGAGTCGAGTGGTCGTCCCACCGGAGTATGAGAGTGACAGGAATAGAGTGCACGTTGTGTCTGCGCGTACACGCGCTGCACTATAATATCTCCCGCGCAGTTGGCTAGTCTCAATGAGATTGGCCGCCGTGGCCGGAATCGGTCAAGAGAACATCATCATACTTTTGTAACGTAACTGACTGACTGATTGACGATAGTAGTGTCCAACGGACACATTGAATGAATTTTAGATATTTAACAAACATATAAAGACATTGTTAAGCTACAGGACTTATAGTATAATGATTAATTCTGTATATAATTTAATAACATATATATTTACAGTATTTTTTATTTCCGAAAATATACAGAGTTCGAAACAGACATTACGAATTCACTTATCACAACATGCGTTTATAAGTTCTGGATAATTTTGAAGGAGGACGGAAGCTTGAGATGATTGAGAAGATAATCCTTGGTCTGATTCTACCATATCTTGGATGATTGCAATGTGAAAACTTGTCAAAAACTTCTAGTTTCTTCTTCGTATTTGAGATGTCACTGAGTCGCGATTTTTCATAAAAATAGTTTCCTTTCAATATCATTTTTTGTAACCAACAAAAGTTCATAACGCAACAGATCATATCATGTTTGTTTTAAAATCAAATAGCGTGTTCGTGAACTTCCTTATAGAGTTGTAGTAATTTATTTTAGAATTGTCTTTATTACCCCCATCGATTTTATTTCTATGTTATATCAGAAACAAAAAATACATTAAAGAAATTTTTATCCATCATCGTCTTTACAAATTAGTTTAATCGTTTAAAATTCATGTTCTGTAAAACTATATCATTAGTAAAATTCTCATTATTGTTGTCGAACTCACAAAAATAATTCACAATTTCGTCCTTACTTGCATCAAAAGAGGCAGTGGTAGCCCAGTGATAACGCGTTCGCTTGGGAAACCGAGTGAAGCGGGTTCAAATCCCGGGTGTCGCACCTCTGATATTTTCATGTGCGAATCATTTCCAACATGATAACCACCTGTACGGTGAAGGAAAACATCGTGAGGAAACCTGCAGAGAACCTAGCAAGTTTTCGAAAGACATGTAGAGTCCGCCAACGCCCGTGCCCAGCTGTGGGATGTTACGAAAGGGCTGAATACTTTCATCAAAAGCATTTGATTTATATAGCCATTTCTTATAATAAAAACAAATGCAAACACAACTGTTTTATATATAAAGTGTCTTGTTACTGATCCGAAATAACTCACAAGTACAAAAACTACGATTGTAATATGAATAATGTTTTGTAAATTGATTTGGTAGTTGCTACAATATAATTCTCAATGTGAAGGAACAAAGAACTTTCATTCAAGTATAAGTTAGTAGTCGAGTGTAATTAGGTTTATACCTCGAAACTCAGCTATATGGCTGTACAAATGGATTTGGCTGATTATAGATTTTTTGAATTTCTTATACTTAAAACTAAAAAGTTTCCCTTTTGAAACCTTCCGCTATTTTTTTTTTAAGGATTGACCCCTTCTGTTCTAGTATAGTACATTCCTTTTACAGCTTTATTTAGTTTTTCTTTCGAGAATAAGTCAGTTTTTAGTCATCTATACTAATATTAAAGAAGTAAAATTTGTGAGTTTGTGGGTTTGTGGCGTTGTAAGGGGTAATCTTTGGATCTACTGAACCCTATTTAAATGAAATTTTGTAAGAAGATAGTTTGAGACCCTGGGAAGGACATTGGATACTTTTTATCCCGGAAATCATCCTTTAAGGGTGTAAAAATGGGGATGAAAGTTTGTATTGGGAAGCAAGCTAGGAACGAACCCGAGTGAAACGAGGGTGAGTCGCTATAGGTAGACAAATGACTCATAGACTTTTCAAAATAAGTAAAGAGCTACAGTTATCGATGATAAGTATTACTTATAAATTATAATCATTTCAAAATATATATAGATAAAGACGTTCTTCATCTATATCCGACCAATTCATTTCAACTACACCACTAACTTATGTAAAGATAATATAAAACCAATTTATTTAATAACTATCAGAACCCGCGCCTTCGGCCGCGTTCTATGTATTTATATAATATACATTTTACCAGTTAGTATGGAATAGATACGACTATATATTAGTATATATATATATTTATTAGGGTGTGCCAAAAAATGACGATATTTTTTTTTCTTCGCTCTCACCCCAAAATATCTCAGAAAATGTCCCAACAAAGCTCCTGTTAAAAGCGGAGCTCAAAATAATTCCAATTCTAAGAGGTTCTCCATCGAACTTTAAGTTTTCCCATACAAATTGTATGGAAAATATGATTTTTTACACTTTTTTGTCTTGCAAACTGTGACGAAAATATTTTTCAAAAGAATGAATGAATGGACCGTTTTTAGTATTAAATTTACTACAAAAAGTTGAGTCGAATTTCTATCTTCAATATTTGATTTGTTATATGGCTTTGAAGTTCAAATTTACGGTTTTTTGCATTTTTTAGCTAAACTGTAAAAGTTACAGAAAAATTTAAAAAAAAGTATTTGTCAACTTTTTCATATCATCAATAACAACAAAGTTACAGGCTCACGAATATTTATTTTTTCAAATTTTTGCTTTTACGAACTGAAATATCGATAATAATTAAACAAAAAAAATTCTTGCAAATGCAATTACATAAAATTTGCAACAAAATTGGATAGGGAGTTAGACTTATTTAGTCATATTTTATGATTTTTCAACTATATTATAAAATATATTAATAAAAGACATGAAATACCATTAAAAATATATATATACACACACATAAGTACGATGAGTTTTATATCCCTTATTCGAGAAATAATTGATAAGATAAATAAATAAGATAAATATTCTTTATACCAACTTTCATCTAAATCAGTTCAACAGATTTTTAGTTTATAAAAAATTCACAGACTTACAAACTTTACCTCTTTTAATATTAATTATTATAATATTAGTTAGATATAGATTTACAATAATGTATGGAAGTCTGCCCGATTTGTTGTCATTACATTTATGATTACTGCTCCGCTCCCTTTAGCATAATGATATAAGCCTTCCTCAATACACGGGCTATCTAATGCAAAACGATTTTTTCAATTCGAATTAGTAGTTCCTGAGATTAGAGCGTTCAAACAAACAAACAAACTATCTCTTTATAATATTAGTATAGATATGAAATAATTAAGAAACCCATTAAAAATTTCACTTTAATAAAAAAAAATGATGAAAGTTTTAGAGATAACTAAATAATTACCGTAATTGTAATGCGGACCCAAGTTTAAAGAATCATATGAATACGTCTTAAAGTCATCTGCCAATCGTATGGTATAAATTAACTTATTCGGCTTTGTTTCTTGCAGATCGATTCCCTGAAAATAGAAGTAAAAAAGAAATTACTATATACAGTTTGTATGTGCGTACATGTTTGTTTATTACTCCTACTACTACTACTGGCTGGACAGTTTTGAATGAAATTTCATATACAGATAAACTGTGATTTGGAGTTCTACGTAGGGTACAGTTTGTAATAAAATTTGCGTAAAACTGATACAAAAGACACATAGACACAAGACACGAGCAAAATGAGGGTAATTTAGTACAGTACTGAGTGAGTGTACAGTATACAGAACTAACTCTGCGTACATACTTCATCAGAGATTAGGGGGCTTAAATCAACCCGTGTATAACCCACACAATTAACTGTGCTGGTTTCGCTTAACAAAAATAAAAAAACCGAGTCGATACTATTAAATTATAGTCACGTTACCACATAAGTTAGAGTATCTTTCTTCTATCATATAACATCAAAATTAAAAATATACTTTATTTAAATAGACTTTTACATGCACTCTTGAATCGTCAATTTTACATATTTTTTTTATTCGAATTAAATTTTAGTATAGTCAGTCCGTGAGGAATCTACCACCGGCTCGGAAAGGCAGTACTGCTAAGAACCGGCGAGAAACTCAACAGTTGCTCTTATAAAATAATAATTGTGTACAATATTGTAATACAATAATTATCTATTTATCCTACGTGAGACCCAACCAGACATTAGTTCCACACATTGATATCTGTGAAGTATTCCGTGGCAGTAGTACAGTACATTTTTAATTTTAGACTTAAATTGTTTAAATGGCAAGCTCAAACGTCGTCACAGATAGACAATGTAACTTTATTTATAAACTAACATTGCCCACGGCTCTTCCTGCGTTCAGATGACCAAAAACCAAATAAAATAGCGCTATTTTTATTTTTTTCAAGATAAGCTATTTTCTTATTTACTGAGTTACCTTGCTAAAATATATATACTATCCTCGTGGTTTTATTTAAGCCAGTTTTTGTATATTTTCTCAAAAATGAGATATTTTCCCGCGGTAAAAAGTATCCTATATGTTGACCCGGATAACCAGCTATCATCATACCAAATTTCATCAAAATCCCTCCAGTAGTTTTTCTGTGATGCGATAACAGACAGACAGACAAAAATTCTAAAAACTATAGATTCGGCCTCTGTATCGATAATAATATCTCTTTAAATAAGATCTTCCAAAAAATATTTAATGTACACATTCGACTTAGTTAGAATTTTATTATACTCGTATGTATAGTAGTTAAAATTTTATTATATGTATAGATATATATACATTAATGATAATATTGTTATCATAACATTGTTTCATTGTAAAAGTACCTAGTTATAGTTACACCTCGTCCATCCGCTTTAGATTAAGATTTACATAGACTAAGAGAGACGCAAACTCAGCGTCTGGTCGGCATCGGGCCCACCCGGCATCCGCCGGCCGAGATTGTATTTACTATTTGTATTTAGTATTTAGAGATTAGAGGAGCCTCAAAAACGGGTACATGTTTCTCATTTAGTTTTATTTTTTTCTTATTTTAATTTTAATCTCTCCACGACCGCGAACTATAACAATAGATTTCTTAGAATTTTAATTAATTTCTTAGAAATTTACCTGAAGGTTTTAAGTTAGTATAAGTAGTTTTCAAAACGCTCCGATACCAAAAGTACCTGCAACCTACAGTGTGAACAGAAACTGTCGTAATTGTAGTTATTATGGGAAAGTGTATTTCATTGTTTGCAGTTGAAGGTCGGTCATTTAATTTACATTAAAATCATTTGAATCTATAGAATGATATTTATTATAGTTGGAAAACTATTCACCGTATTTTAAAAAATAAAATCAATTTTTTTTTAGAAACAATTGAATTTTGTGGGTAGGTATAAATGTAAGCAATCAATTAAATATATGCTTACTTATATTATACATATAACTTTATATAAAACATAAAACTGTAATAATTTTAATAGAACATGCTAAATTGAAAAATAAAAATCAAAAACAAACAAAATCAAAGGCATTTGTTTTGTTTATTTGATAATTCTACAATTTTATCATAATAATGTCCATTGTCAATAATGGCACAAATTTTGTTTGTCAACACTGGTTGCCTTGATGTGAAACGTCTTTAAAATCACACTGAAACATATGGGTAATAAAAGTAGACCATAATAAAATAGGTTGCATTAGGTTACCATAGTAACCGTTGTTATTGTTTGCAAAATGATATATATGATATTCTTTTCTTGGCTATCTTCAAAGATTACTATGTTTACTAATTTGTTTTCAAATATGCAAAATATTTATATAAAACAAAAACACTACAAACAACTCTTGACTGAAACTGAAATAGATATTTCACATTAAATCAATGGCGGTATGTCCCGACACAGCCCCACCCAATTTTTTTACCTTAAATAAGACAATTGCGGCACTGCCATGGGTCACTTCAAAATCATTCGTCAAGTTTTGCAACATTGTTGGATCGTTGACAGGCTTCATTTTAGGTTTTGGGTATGCTGCAAAAAAATTATATAAAATTTTTCTTTTTACATAGATTCTTTTGATAAAATTATTTAACACTGGTGAATTTATGGGAATTATAACTACCAACACAATAGTTATAATCTCCTAAATTTACAATTAGTTATTAAAATTTAAGCACTAGAACTGTTGTTACAACTCTATAACATAAATTAAGAGATTATTTGAAATGTCAGTCTTTCTAAATCTAATGTCTATATTTCAAAATTATGGGGATTATTTTCATTTGCAGTGATCTTATATCAATAGTAAATAACATATAAATATTATTATTTATCTTACCCATATAACCTTTATCAGCTCTATGTAACTCATAGTATTCTTCAACATATCGCATAAGACGATTAGAAAAATCAGTTTCAGGTGTATAAAATATTTTGTCTATATTTTCTACCGAGCCAAGTTTAACTGGGTCCTAAAATTATTAAGAATATATTAGTTATGTAAGTGCTATGATATAACGCGAGAAAAGAATGTTTACTCCTAAAGGATATTGATTTTGGACTCTTGCCAAGTTTGGAATATTATCCTTCAAGTCGTAATATGACCACACCTGATTTTAGACCAAAGAATATTTTAAAATTATAGAAGAAAAATAATACTTACTGTTTTTTGAACACTGTAAAGTTCATCGGTATCAAATTTTCCTTTACCAAGAAAGTAATTTTTTACACAAAATAATATTATAAATAGTATAGCTGGCGATATAATTTCTACTGGTGTATGTATAAATCGTCTCTTACGAACCATCAGATGTTTCCACATAAGAACTTTTAAAGTCCCCATTATGTTTGTTTACTCCACTTTATTAATACAATTTCTTATTAAGTACTAATAGCTCACTTGATTAACAACATCCTAAGATTTATTAATATAGTTTGTCATCTGGTAACAATTTTATTCTCACAATAAAATATGTACACAAATGCTCAGATTACTTAAACAAACTAATGTCTCTTTTTTTAATAACTTCCATTCATTGTCCCCTATTGTAGAATTCTAAAAATCTGTGTTACGTAGTCGCGTATTAATATGTAGACAACTATGAACTAATAGTTAATACGTTTTTAAGCATTTATTGCTCCAAACTAACGGATTTGAAACAAAAGTACTCCACAAGTCACAACCAACAATGAACAATCCACTACGGACTACCCATAAAATAAAGACTGAATTCTGAAATGAGAAATCTCAAATCTGAAACATGGATGACAAGTGACAATTGACAATTGACAAATACAGAATAAAGTTACTAAGTACCAATAGATAGCAGGGCTGCCAGTACAGCCAACTTATTTTATATTATAGATATGTATGAGGAATAAAACAAAAAATCGATATCAATAAATATGTAATAATTTAAAATAGCAACTAAAAAACACATGTGTGTGTACACTTTTGTACGCACGTAAGAAGTTATACCATAATTTATGATATACTGGCATTGCCCGCGGCTCCGCCCGCGTTCAGATCACAAAAAGCAAATTCTTAGGTTTTACATATTAGTATACTCTTACATTGCAGTTTTTGTATTTTTCTCAGAAACGAGATATTTTCCCAGGGTAAAAAGTATCTTATATCTACCAGCTATCACCATACCGAATTTCATCAAAGTCCCTCCATTGGTTTTACTGGGATGCGGTAACAGACAGACAGACAGACAGCCAAAAATTCTAAAAACTAAAGGTTCGGCCTCTGTATCGATAATAATGTTTATTTCAATAAGATTTTCCAAGAGTTTAAATAGTTTGGTTGTCTTATGTATCCAGTGTGTATAGCAAATTGCCTTGTATACAAAAGTATTTTTTTTTATAGGTGGTACTGTGGAATGACCTTTTTTTTCGTTGTGTATTTGACATTACCGTGGCTTTGAATTAGTGGTTTTCTGGTGGTTAAGAGACTTTGGTGGGTTCGTAAAAATAAAGTTGGCAGCACTGGTTGTACGAGGTCTGCCGTATATGGTATACCGTAGACAATAGACATCTCACGTCTGACGTCACAACCATAGAGTAATGAGTATACGCTTCAGAATCAGCCTTTAAGTCACAACTCTCAAGAAAATTCAAATTTCAAAAATGTCTGCGGCTGCTTGCGCGCCGTTTTAACTTGTACATGTTCATTTGTAATAAATAAACTAGTTCACTTAATAATTTCATTCTACATTACATTGATAACGTAGAGTCGAGCTTGCTCGTCCGTGGCTGTATTTTGGTGAAATTAAGTGTGTATTTGTGATATATAGACTCGGTGGTAGATAGTGACTTGTTTGATTTTGTATTTATTTTCGCGATGAGTTCTCAGAAAGAAAACACTAAAATCTGTTGCATGTGTAGATCTTCACCTTCTAAAGATCTCAGCATCATTTTGCATCGGTTTCCAAAGCCTGGTTAAAAAAAATCTGCGGTATATGCCTACTTATGTACTTTCCATTTTCCATGCTATTCGTTTTAGACGGCATAGAATACCACAATTATTGTTAATTCAGCTTCTAACAACCACAAACTAACGTAACATGTATTCATACCTAATGTATTTGATACCCTTTCCTAAAGTCCCAACTTTCGTTGCCAAAAATCATTTGGTACTTACTATGAAACCTTTTCTTGCCTACACAATTCCTGTATTTAATATTACATCTCTTTTAATCAAAGTGAATACAGAAAGTTTAGATTTTTATTTAGATATAGCTTAATTATTAGGAATATGATTATTTAATATGGTATGTAATTTTTATATTTTTTAATTTTCAGTTATGTTTCAGTATTAAGATGGCGCATCTAACTTTGTTTGGGAGATCCGCCTGCTTCTGGACCTCTACCTTGACGCCCAAAGTTAGTATGTGACCATGGATTGCTATTCTTAGCCATTCCATGGCCTCTGCATTCGTGCAGGTAGGTCTACCCTGGAATGTTGGTGGATTATTTGTTTTGATCTGGACTAGAGACCAGAGTTTGCTGTTAAGTACCTCCTGGACCTTTGTTGGTTTTGTTTCCTGTTGACGGCTTGCGTGGGAACCTCCCACAGGAAATCCTGTGCTTGGCTCACCAGACGCGTTCGTTTTGGTTGTTTTGGCAAAGGCTTCTTTGGGATGTCCCTCAAATGCCACCTTGGTTTTTATTTGTATGAATCCTGAATTATCCATAGCTTGTTGTATTTTAATTCATCTGCTAGGCTTATAGGCAAGGATAACTTTCGATCTTTATTATTTAAATTCATGCATATAACCTTGAACCCCTATTTCACCCCTTAGGGGAGTTTTTTCCAAAAACGCTTAAACACGTGTATGTTTATTTCCAATCAAACGCCTAAATATTTAATTCCATGCTTCTACTTTAAAAGTATCATATTTGTCATACAAACTTTTCAACACTTATTTCACCCCCTTAAAATGTTTCCAAAATGATCAAATACGCGTTTCATTGTTTATAACCGAAAACCTAAATACTAATTTTAATTGATTTTACTTAAAAAGTGACGAACATTCATACAAACTTTTATAACTTTTAAAATCCTCCCTTTCTTAGTAGATGCCTCCATCACAAAAGGAACCTACGGTCCAAATTTCATGTTTCCAGCTTCAGTGATTCAGGCTCTGCGTTGGATGTCTGGATCAGTCGGGACAAGCAATTATATATGGTATAGATTATGTTCAATTTTCTTTCCTTATTTATTATTTTAACACCTTGTTTTATTAATGGACGATATTTTGAATGGCGCCTTAGTTACGAATAAATATTTATTCGTAGTGTGGGAATTTACCTTAATTTTAAATTTAGAGAGGGTATTAGCATGTAGTGTGTAGTGACCCTACTTGCTGTGCCAGCGGTCGCGAGTTCGAGTCCCGCTGGGGGCATTCATTTGTGTGATGAGCACGAATGTTTATACTCCAGTCATGGGTGTCTATATTTATAATGTGTATGTATCTAAAATTATATATGTTTAGTGTGTCAACTATCTGGTATCCACAAGACTAGTAGCTTACCATGAAACTAGATGGTGCTGTGTGTTAATGTCCCAACATATTAGTAGTTTCTTGCACTTTTACATATACATATAATATTCTGAATTATTAAATTTCTTTACATTTGCTTTATTACAGAGTAAATTTCGCAGTTATGTTATGAATTAAAAACCTATACATATATGGAAATAATTTATTAGGAACACATTTTTCCTCATACCTTACATGTTATGAATTCAATAGTGTATATCTAATATTGTATTATAATATATAAAACAGGCCAGACTAGTCAGTATTCATTAAAAAGTAACATTTTATCATATAAATATGTCGACAACCCCAAATAATAGCACTGGTTGTTCTGGCTAATCTCCGAAACGGCTGGACTGATTTTGACGGGACTATCACTGGCAGATAGCTAATGTTATAAGAAGTAACTAAGGTTACTTTAATTTTAGAAAATAAATAAATAAAACGTACCTAGAGACCCGAGCGAAGCGAGGGTAAGTCGCTTATAAAGTATATAAATTGTACAATACTATTATACAATATATTTTTTTAACCGTCGTTTAATAGAAATGACTAAATAAACACATTTTTAATTATGTACAAATATCACATATATCATACTACATACTTTATATATTATTATATAACTTTAGAGTGTTTCTTCTCATATCTTCGACCGATACGGCAAGAGCCTCCATTGAGATTGAATCATTTCTTTATTGTTTTCTATCGCTGATAGTTTATTTTCATCTGGAATTAGAATTAACATAAGTATTATCATGGTGTCTCACAGCAAAGAAAAATTAGTTCAAATAAATGTCGACAGATGGCATTATAGTTATAGATTTGTTACTCAAGTTTTGTGTAAAGTTATCAAAATATATAAAATAGATCCCAATAAGGTTATATTATGGTTTAAAAAATATGTACGTAAAGGACCAAATAATGCGCTATTAAATTAAATTTGCGTATTTTTACTAGTGAATAATCACAATTTAGTTGATACGGTATGTAGTACACAGTGACAGATGGCGCTTTTATTGCGTTTAAAACTGTCCAAAGTCACTGAAATTCGTTTCGTTCAATTCAGAATGAATTTTGCATACTTTATCATATTTTATTTTACACATTTATAAAATACACAAGTTCGACATCTATTATTATCTATTCTAGCAAACAAAAATACCCCGAATTAGGCATCTGTACTAGTTTAGTATTAGGTTATCAGTACTATTATTGTCATTATAATGAAGAAAACATAGACCACCTACCATTTCTGGCTTCGAGCTTGTAATTCGAAAATTGAAAAATAAATAATTAAAAAAGTACATATTTTAAACCAATTGTAACACGTAGGATTCATGGAAATTAATAAAATTAACCCAAATTCGAATGATCTTTAAAGAGTTTCCTTCATCTAACTTGAAGCCTCCCTTTGAGCTACCAACCAGATCCGTTCGATAGTATCAAATTGCTGTACTGCTTCCAGAGTTTCAAATCGATAGATCAATTTCTAATTCTATTATTACATATCAACAAGTGCAACCAATTAAAGTTTAACTCAAATATTTACCTCTATCCAGGATGAAGTGTTGCACGAGCCGTATGAAGGCCCGCGTGGGCACCGCCATGTTGACGTACGGGTAGCAGGCGCCCGTCTCAGTCTTCGCGTTGCTTACTATTGTTGCCAACACTTCTGCCTTTAGATCTTTTGTTATACGATATATTGGACCGCCACTAAGAACAATATAAATAGATTAACTCTGTTAATGCAAAAATATTATATAAGATAATTTGTATTTTCAACCGACTTCAAAAAGGAGGTTCTCAATTCGACTGTATGTTTTTTTTTTTTTTTTTTTTTTATGTTTGTTACCTCAGAACTCCGTCATTTATTAACCGATTTGGACAATTTTTGTTTTGTTTGAAAGGGTATACTTCCAGATTGGTCCCATTTAAATTTCAAAAAAAATACCACCCCTAAGGGTGGAAAAACAAGTAATGATGAATTTAACCTACTTCTAATTGTCATATTGACTTGAAACTTTGCAAGTATTTATATTTCCGTTGATAGTACAGTGGTTCGGTGTTGTTGACCTGATCTGATGGCAAGGCCAGAAGGTGGATAGGTGCAACTCTTCAACGGCTAATAGTAGATACTTTGAGTTTGGGCTTATTTTGTTTGATTTGACAAGCCTAACACGTTAGGATTCTTACTTTGCTACTACTGTCTACACTAAAAAGGGAAAAATAAAAACTTTTTAACAAAAAAATAAAAACCGACTTCAAACAAAAGCACTAAAAAGTTAAAAATAACTGATTGGTAGTTTTCATTTACTATACATACCTAATCAAATATTTTCGAAGTCGGTGTGCTTTGGCTAAGTAATTAAAGCCTACCTATTAAATACATATGTACCTATCAAACATTTTCGAAATCGGTGCCAGCCCATACAAAGCAAAGCACACCGACTTCGAAAATATTTGATTAGGTATGTATAGTAAATGAAAACTACCAATCAGTTATTTTTAACTTTTTAGTGCTTTTGTTTGAAGTCGGTTTTTATTTTTTTGTTAAAAAGTTTTGAACTATCTGATCGGACGGGTTACGAGAAACTTAACATTTTTATCACTTTTGGGTTCATGCAAAAATCCTATATGTAAAAGTATTCTCAGTATTACCAGAATTTCTCTATTTACTGAGCAACTTCTTCATTTTTCCTCCCTAAAAACCTTGTTCGGACTATACTTAAAAAAAGTGCCAAAACGATCCAAACGTTCCCAAAAGATACGCTTACCAATGAACAGTATTTATTTTTTCATATATGGCCTTCAGAACTGCTCGTTATACGTCGCTTTCGTTAGTCTGTATAGATCAATAGATTGTGGCATTATGTCTCTCTGGGCAGTGTTTTTTACTGAACTTAATACTAAATTACAATACTTATAAATTAAGCATATGATACGACAAGTATATAACGCCTTTGAGACGTCTAAAACCTTAGTCTCTCCCGTGACCATGTTTGCTGTAAATAAACGTCGGGAACCAAAAATCAAAACAAACCGCGAAATAATCCGAAAAGATAGTTTTATTTAACATATGATACGAGATACACTATTTTCATACCTGAAGCCAGACTGCACACAACACGAGGTCTGTATCATGGAGGGAGACACGTTGTTGATGTGTCCACTCGTCACCGTCGGCTTTAAGTCTTCTAGATTGTTCTCGTTGAAGTAAGGATAGCCAGCTGCTAGCACTGACTCACCTAAAATTACGAGTATGTTTGTTTGGTTATTTGTAAAATCAAAAAAAATATAAATCAAAATATACTTTATTTAGAATTATACTAGTACTTTTGAATCGGGAATTTTGTATTTAAATTAAATATCAGTGTGTAAGCCCGTGGGAATCTACCACCGGCTCAGAAGGCAGTTCTGCTGAGACTTACATAATTTGTCTAATCTAAGATTGCGTTTTGGGGTTTTACAGTGTTATACCTCGGAAGACTAGTGGTTAACATGTCCGGCCGCAGATCCGGAGTTCTTGGGTTCGAGTCCCGGCTCAGGCCGAGTACAGTTAAAGTTAAAAGTTACTAACTTTTGGGCTGTAAACACTTTACATTATATATATTTTTTAATTACACTACAAATGTGAGAACATGAGTATTCTTACTTATAGCTTTTAAATAGTTTTGAAATTGCATATTTTGTGGTAGCTAAAAAACAAGCAGGTGTAAAAAGAATAGCTCACGATACGGAATAACGAACGGGATGTAAGTATGGTATATAAGTTACCATATACCAATCGTTATTCCGTATTGTGGGTTATTTAACATGGCTGTTGCTTTACGTATGTACTTAAAATTAGGAGGAATGAAAAAATATTATTATTTGTACTTTAATAGGACGAATAATAAATAAAGGCAGCTGTTGCTATTCATCCGATAATTTGTCGGTTAGTACGAATATTTACCACTTTTTTTGTTTTCTAATGTAAAATAAGTGATTTTTAAGTCCAGGAGTTTCTATATGCAAAAAAAACTTAACCTATCGAGTTGGGATCTTATTCTTTAAATCTCAACGATTTTTAAGTTCAAGAGTTTTTAAGGTTATAAAAACTATTTTCAGGTGCAGAAGTTTCTGTATGCAAAATAAAAACCGTAACCTACAACGCTGGGCCGAGCTATTTATTCTACTTATTTATTAGTTTATTCATCTTTCCTTCTAATTTATATATTTTTATAGGACGAATACCTAATTATTTTTTTATTCGTTTTATTAAAAGACGAATAGATACTTCGATTTAATATATCCTAATTTGCTTACCTTTCTCCGCGGGATGCTCAGCAAATACCGCGGGCAGCAAATTCGTCCAGTACTCGGGATTCGTGTAGAGGAGAGCCAAGTCGTACGCCTTGTCGTCTTTGGTTTTGAATTTCACTATTGCCGTTTCCATCTTGTTCTGACAGTATAATGACACTTTGTATGACGCGTGCTGGAATTATGTTAATAATAAATAAATATATCTTTAACTTAAATGTTCTTAATAGTATTAAGTTCCAATTTATTGTTAAATGTTAATTATTAAATATTTATAAAGAGAAATATGTAAATATGGACCTGTCTGAAGTAAAATATATAAATAAACTGAACGCGAGCGTGTAACGTACGTGTTTGACGACGTGCGCGCAGGACAGCACGTGGCCGCCGCCGAGGTACACGCCGGCGCCCCACGCCGCGCCGCAGCGCACCAGCACCGTCGTGCGGTCGATGATGCCTGCGCACACCGCCACACACACATACACACACAACTCTCATCATGTTCTTAATATCATATTTAACGCAATTGAATTAAAATATATGTAAATCAAAACTAATAAATAAGTAAAAAAGAATTAATGCCCGATTTCACCAACAACCCATAAGCTACCACCTACATGGGATCCCTAGCTTAAAATTCCCCTAAATTAAATTCGTTTTACCATCGTCTTTAAGCCCATATTTCGAGCACCTAAATTTAGGGGGCCTTTTAACATTTAGGCGACCCCTTACTGTCGGTGAAACAGAAAATGTCCCCTAACATCCCTCTAACCATGCTTAGGGGATCTCTTAAACTTAGGTGATGTTGGTGAAATCGGGCATACACCTATTAATAAATGATTGAGAAATTATTTCTTTAAGTTTATTTTAATTTTTATCGCACAACTATTGACGGTCTCTCACTCGAATGTGACGTCATTTTACCTGAGATCGTCACACCACAAAATATTATCCAATAGGGAATATACGTGGTTTTTTTATAAAATAGCTAATATTGTTATATAACTGTAAAAAATATCCAGCTTTAAAAAACTAAAATTTTGTAACATTTTTTAAATATCATACTTTAAATATCCGCTATTTCGCGCGCTTGGTGTGACGTCACAGTATAATATACAGAGCAATATGACGATTCAATTTGTAACGACAAAATCACTAATCGCCCTGTTATGATAATACTTTGACATCATATTCGGCCTAACCAATGGCGTGTATTTCAACTACTTTGAATTTCAAACAAGAATGATTCCCATTTAAGAGGTAAGCGTGAGAAGGCCAGGTATAGGCTAGGTATCAAAGCGTATGAGTAAACAGTGGAGCGGTGCTCACGGAGCAGCTTGTCGTAGGGCGGGGAGGGCGGCGCGCGCGGCGGCGGCGGCGGCGGCACGCGCAGCTTGGCGGCCAGCACGGCGCGCAGCGGCGCCGCCAGCGACAGCCCCACCCACTCGCCGCGCCACCACGACACGCTGCACACCACCACGCCCACCAGCGACGCGCTGCACGCACACCACCACACACACAAACTTTGTATTTTTTTTAACCTATACTAATACTAGCGACTCAACCTCGCTTCTCTCGGGTTCGTCCCTAGGTACGTTTTAACAGATACTTTGAAATAGAAATCTTTGAATTTCTTGGTTATTCTGTACTATAATATGCATGTATTATACATATAAACCTTATTCTTGAACCACTCTATCTATTAAAAAACCAGCATCAAAATCCGTTGCGTAGTTTTAAAGATCTAAGCATACATAGGGACAGACGATATAGTGATAGTGATTAAAAAGAGGTTAAGTTTGTGAGTTTGTAGGGGGTAATCTCTGGATCTACTGAACCGATTTAGATGAAATTTTGAAAGTTTGAGACGATGGGAAGGATATAGGATTTTTTATGGGATATTAGGAGTTTTTATCCCGTAAATCAGCCTTTAAAGGGGTAAAAGTGGAGATGAAAATTTGTATTGGGAAGAAAGTTAACAACGAACCCGAACGAAGTAAGGGTGAGACGCTAGTAATATTAGGTATAAAGAGGTAAAGTAAACACCATAGACTCTTTGATCGTGCTTTTTTGAGTTTTTATATTTTGGAAAGATTATAATGTCCGTTCAAATAAAATTAACATAGAACGAGGACTTCGACTACGGCGACTTATCCTATTAAAACTAACTGACTGTTGGCTCGACCCAGTACTCGAAATCTGGATCTCCGAATCTGCAGTCGTACACGCGAGATTTTAAATCAACGAGATTGCCAAACTGTATCTACAAAAAAATCGTCATAATTTATATAATACGACTTTTTTTCTTAAACTTAAGATAAACGTGCCCATGGAAAACTTATCAAGTATTAATACTTTCTTAGATTTACACGAATACTTGACATTTTAAATAAAACTATCTTTTCGGATTTTTTCCGCGAATTTATTTTCATTTTTTAAAGTTAAAAGTTAAAAAATATTGTAAGGTACTTTGGTGCAATCTTTTCAACTTTTTGAATTCATTTTGTTATTTGTGGGTAGGCTGTCTGTAACAACTATATAATACCTAAGAGACATCTAACACCTCAGTTTCTCCCGTGACCATGATTGCTGCAAAGCATTCGAAATGTCGGGAACCAAAAATCAAAATAAATTCGCGATAAAATCCGAAAAGATAGTTTTATTTAAAATTATCAAGTATTAATTTTTGATGGCTAATAAGAAATTTAACTATTTTTGTTTACACTAGAGTTACTATTTATTGCTATATGATTCCTGAAAAACATTGACAAGTCATTTAGTGGCTGCTTTTAGCTAGCTAGAAAAATTGTTAGCTTTCATTTATTTTTACTTAACAATAACATTTATAGTTTTTATTATTTGTGGATACTTTGATCACAAACAAAAACCGATAAAACCGTCATATTTAATTGAGCTTTGTAAAACTTACGTAGGTCCTTCTGTAAACACCGGCCCACCTTCAGAGCCGAGAGCGGTGGCAGCGTCCGTCAGTAACAGCGACGGACGCTTCCCAATCACGCCACACACAGTTCCGCGGGTCACTGCGTTTAAGAAAACCTGTTCATGTGAAATATTTGGGCATTAAATGATTATGCCAAGAATTTCATACAGATACTTCGTTGGTAGTAGCTCGTTTGTTAGTTTAGGGAGCTTAATAATAATCTCCCCCTGATACTTTCTTAGATTTACGCGAATATTTGACGTTTTAAATAAATCTATCTTTTCGGATTTTTTCGCAGATTTATTTGGTGGTCACAGGAGAGACTGAGGTGTTACCATGAATGCTGTAAAGCATTCGAAACGCCGGGAACCAAAAAATCCAAATAAATCCGCGGAAAAATCTAAAACGATAGTTTTATTTAAAATGTCCCCCTGATTGATTTTCGTCCACTGCGCTGGAGATTCTATAGTGCAGCGCGTGTACGCGCAGACACAATGTGCACTCTCTATTCCTGTCACTCTCATACTCGACACGACCAGTGAAATAATATTTTCTTAGATTTACCGCAAATATTTGACATTTTAAATAAAACTATCTTTTCGGATTTCTTCGCGGATTTATTTTAATTTTTGGTTCCCGAAGACGTTTCGAATGTTTTACAGTAATGATGGTCACGGAGATACTGAATCTCTCAAAATAAATCCGCGATAAAAAAATCAAATCAAATCAAATCAAAAAATCGGAAAAGATAGTTTTATTTAAAACGACCAGTAAAAATGAAGGCGAATGATCGGTTTTAATTGCTTTTCAAGGTACGAGGGTGAAACATCACACTTCTTAATTCCGGGTTGTTACTGAGAATTTCTTGACAGAAACATAACAACTACATAACTCAACTTAGTCCGACCAGGGACCGAACACAGGACCTCCACGTCTGCGGCCGTACATGTTAACCACTACACGACCGAGATAAGATATAAATCTGCAATGGCTGAAGATGGAAGCATATTTTTTAAATATGTTCGTTCAGTTTCGATTTTTAAATTTCATTTAATAGTAGGTAATGGAGATAACATATTCCGGAACAAACAAGATGTCATTCTATATGTTTTACCTCACAGCCAAAAGGCGTAGAATGTACTTGAATGCTGGTTCCTCTTTCAGGAGGAGATCGCACCATGTCCAGTAATTCTGAAAGCGGCCTTAGTGTTTTGAAACCTGTAATTTAAAAAAAAGTATAAAATATTTTTTTGAAATTTGATAATATTAACATGAACTCAATAACTATGTTATAATTATGTTATAATAAGTATGAATGTTAAAGTAAATAATGTAAATTTAATTTTTAGCTTGTTAAGATACTGTTTCTTTGTAATATTTATGTAATGATTTAGCTGTAGATTTTGCGAAACAAATAAATAAATAAATTAGCTGGATTTTTTGGGAAAATCTTTTATTATTCCATGTGTAAATGTAACGAATAAGGCAAAATATTACAGTTTTTTGGTTTAATATATATATGTTTTGGTTTAATAAATGTTTAAAGATTTTAACCCCCTCCTCCCCTGTGTAAGTTATATAATCAAATTACATAATGCAAGGGCAAAATTTACGACTATTAAGCACTTGTGACAATGAAATTAATTTAAAATTTAATTTTTATGAAGTTATTATTATGTAATTCAAATAAAATTAGCTAAATATAATTTAAAAAATATATAATCATATCTGCTAAAATATAAAAATTATGATGATTGTGATTCTTATGTAGAACTATTCTACTAAAAGTCTACATATTTACTCTACATTATCTTTAAACCGCTATTTAGACGGGGCATGCCGTATAAATTGCACTCTGTAGGTATCTCTGGTTGTAAAAAATGATTAAAATTCGTAGTAGTTTCAAAATTTATTGATTACAAACAATAAACTCTTAAAAACACACGAAGAATCAAACAGACAAATCTTTCCTTTTATATCACTGTGACAAATAATGATTACTCCATACCATTTTTATAAAATTTTATGATTATAACAAAGACCAAAAAAGATGGCAAACTTACTTTTGTTATCGCTCTCTAAATCAACAAGTACAAAAACAGAGAGTAAGGCTTTGCCAAGTTGCGTCTGTTTCTCCATGTCGCCGTCTCGGTGGCCGATGGTCCAGCTGTACAGAATGTCGTCGACGCATCTGTCCAGCACCGGGCATTGCCAGACGTGGCATATCCTAGATATAGAGATAAATATTAAAATAGTATAAATAAGTATTAGTTTTATATACGAGTATATTCTGAATTGGAAATTCAATTATCAGTAGGAACCATTTTTAAAATTATATGATCCAGTTTTAGACATATTCTAGGACAATAACTTATTAAGCCAGTTTAAAGCAGAATACTTATATGGATTGGTGAATTTACATTTAGTTTTAAATTTGTACCTAAGAATATAATTTCCTTTATTTACAACTGCATTTATGTTTGCGTGATGATTTCAACGATTCTTGTTTTGAACAAGCTATATCATGAGTAAACGATTTTTACCCAAGGGTAAAAATTACCTTTAAGTCTTCATTTTAGATGCACACAAATTTTATTTACAATGTATACAAAGAATCAATAGAATCCCACGTCTCGATGTTTTTTCAAAATAACATTCGGAAAACCGTCAAAAATACTAATTGTATAATAATAATTACAAATTTATGTGTCCATACCTTCCAGTCAGCACTCGCACTTGATAGCAACTGTGTTCAAAGTCTACATCATTATGCAAGTTCCTTTCTCTACTCAATTTCTCTATATTTTCATAAATATTGGGTTCTTTGGACTTTCCCTTTTCACACGATACATAAATCTCTGGAAGGTTGTCGTAGAATTCTTCATTCAATATCGGTCTTCCTCGAGCATTCTTTATTATATTTGCCTCCTTTAACGGTGATAATATGGAGCCATGGGTGAGGACCCATCGTTTGGAAAATCTTATGCCGGACGCTGATACTGTTAGAATGTTAGCTAGCTCCCCATCTTCTGAGTAATTGTACGAAACCATTACACCTTCGACGCCCATTTTATTACTGAAAAACAAAAATGTTCATATTATTCAAACGATATACTCTAAAATAGAATACAGGCATAAATAAAATTACATTTTTAATTTATTTGAATGGTTCACGTGACAAACGTTTTATTACCATTATTAAAGTATTTGTATTTGTTAGTAATTTCAAACCAGCAAATCTCTGAAACAGTTGAAACGATTTTAACTAAAATCCAATCCAAAGATATTCCAATTTTCCTTATAGATATTTATAATTAATATAGCAAGTGTTCAGTAAAAAAAACTATTTATCTATACTAATATTATTAAGAGGTAAAGTTTGTGAGTTTGTGACGTTGTAGTGGGTAATCTCTGGATCTACTGATCCGATTTAGATGAAATTTGGTAAGAAGATAGTTGGAGACACTGGGAAGGACACAGGGTACTTTTTATCCCGGAAATCCTCCTTAAGGGGATGAAAATGGGGATAAAAATTTGTATTGGGAAGCATGCTAGGGTCGAACCTGAGCGATGCGAGGGTGAGTTGCTAGTATTTAATAAGTATGCATATTTATAAATAGTACTAATTACTATACTATAAGGTTTTATGTCGCTTTTATATAAGGACATTTTCATATACATAAGTTGCATCCTAGTATCGTTGAATCTTAATCACATAATTCATTACTACACAAGGGGTTTTACACCCACCATAAATACAGCATTTATTGCCATAAACGTTATTCTATATATAGCATAAGTAGCGTCATTGTTAGGATTCCTGGTGCGGAGGGAATGTTAAATTATCCTTATTGAGTCATTTACCTTATATTTCAATTATATAAGCCAATTGTGTTGCTTTTACATTTATTCAACTTATTTTATTTGGCAAATCAATGCATCTGCCAGAGACAACACAGCTAAAAACAATTAAAATAAAAAATAACTAAAAGCCCGTAATTTATTTAGTTGTGTTGTTGTTAAAACAAACGTGTTTGAAAAGTTAAAGAGAACTTTCTCGTTTTTTGTTTAATTTCTTTTCTATTACTTGAAGCACTAATTTATTTCTTTAACACCGACTCTACTTTATTATTATTACGATACTAGCATTGCCTGCGGCTCCGCCCGCGTTCAGATGACCAAAAACCAAATTCTTAGGTTTTACATATTTATATATTATACTCTTACAATGCAGTTTTTGTATTTTTTCTCAGAAATGAAATATCTTCTTGCGGTAAAAAGTATCCTATATGTTGGCCCGGATAACCAGCTACCATCATACCAAGTTTCATCAAAATCCCTCCAGTGGTTTTTCTGTGATGCGGCAACAGACAGACAGAAGACAGACAGACAAAAATTCTAAAAACTATAGATTCGGCCTCTGTATCGATAATAATGTCTATTTCAATAAGATTTTCCAAAAAATATTTAATGTACAGATTCGGCTTAGTTACAATTTTATTATATGTATAGATTGTATTGATTTTACGTTTATTCAGCTTATTTTATTTGGGAAATAAACGCATCTGCCAGAGAAACAATTATTAAAATAAAAACAAAAATTGATAGCCCGTAATTTTATTTATTTGTGTTGTTGTTAAAACAAACGAGTTTGAAAAGTTCAAAAGAACTTTCTCGTTTTTTTTTTCATTTCTTTTCTATTACTTAAAGTAGTAATTTATTTCTCCAAGATCCACTCTACTTTTTATTATGATATCAATAGAAAATGCAAGTACATAATATACAAAAATAATATATTTATTTAGATTTACATTGAAAATCCCAGTATGGATTAATTAATCGGAAATTTTTTAAACATTTCAATTCATAAGATTGATTGACATTTGATTCATAGATTACAAATCTATACTTAATACTAGCGGACCCGACAGACGTTGTCCTGTGTACACGTCTTTAATTTGAAAATTTCAAACTTTTTTTAATAATTTTTTTGATGAAAATTATTATTCAAATTGTAAATCTAAACCATTCCCAGATCCCCTTGAACACACACAAAAAATTTCATCAAAATCGGTCCAGTCGTTTGAGAGAAGTTCAGTGACATACACACTCACAGAAGAATTATATATGTAAAGATTATAAAGAGGTAAAGTTTGTGAGTTTGTGAGATTGTAGGGAGTAATTCTCTGGATCTACTGAACCGATTTAGATGAAATTTGTTAAGAAGATAGTTCGAGACCCTGGGATGAACATAGGATACTTATCCCGGAAATCATCCCTTAAGGGAGTGTAATTGGGGATAAAAGTTTGTATGGGAAATCAATCTAGGGACGAACCCAAGCGAAGTGAGGGTGAGTCGCTAGTCATTTAATAAAAAAATTAAATGTAGTTTTGTAAAGTACCTACTCGGTTTAATAAGTGTATTTAGTTTTCATTAACAACTTGTAATTATATTATTTTTTATGAATAACTACAATTTTTGATTAACAACCTAAAGTCACATTTTATACTAATATTAAAAAACTATATTCATTTTGAAAACCAATTACTATGATACATGTCTTTCATCTTCGAGATAATAATCATTCTCTGACGTTATAAATAACCTTATAATACTAAATACTTGAACATCAAGGAACGTAACACACTATTGCTGGGTTTCAATACGTTTTAAAGCAAATTTCTTCTACAAAGGCTTCAATGTAGCTTGAAGTATCTGTGGTCTCGTTTTATTTGCAGTGTAATATTAGAAGTCGGAGATAGCATGAAAATAGGGTGCGAGACGATACAAATTTGCGCCACATAAGACACACCCTCTGTAGAAATGTAATGAGACTTATTCAGCGGGTGGTCAATGAGAGTATAATTTGTTCTAGTATAAAAGATGGGCTCACGGTACAATTTCAAAGTTCTTCGAAGCGCCATCGTTGAAGGCGCTCCTTTTCTGTGGTATACATTTTTTTTTTCGGAATATTCTACATTTTTGTGTATTGCATTCTTCAATTGCATCTTTTAAGGTAAGTTATTTTATATTTTTAAATGGTCATCCCGAACAAGATACAGAATTTCGTTCTACACAAGTAAGTTTCCGTAGTGTAGCGGTTATCACGTGTGCTTCACACGCACAAGGTCCCCGGTTCGATCCCGGGCGGAAACAGTGCTTTTTTTTTCCTTTACTTTTATAAAATGTGTATTATTACATTTTTATACTATTTTTAAAATATTATGTAAATTATTCAAGATATATAATTAAGATTCTTGTAAAATAAAACAATACGAAATGAAATACTATACAAACAATTTTTATTTGATTTGAGATAAATAAAAGTATTTTTTTATAATCTATATATATAAAAATGAATCCCTATTTCTTCCCTTGGTTACCCCATCACGCGTGAACGGCTGGACCGATTTATCTTTTTTTTGTGTTTGTTATTATCAGAAGGTTCTTATGAAAGAAAAAAATTAAAAAATTGCGCGGAAAATTATAAAATTTAAGAATACTTAACAACCATATTAAAATTTATATGGCTAACGCTGGGTAATAACTATTTATATATATTTAAAACGTACCTAGCGACGAACCCGAGCGAAGCGAGGGTGAGCCGCTAGTATTTGTAAAAAAATAAATAGAAAAATCAAAAAAAGAATCCTTCGAGCCGGATTTGAACCAGCGACCTATGGATTTCTCTAATGTTATACCTCTACAGTCCACCGCTCTACCAACTGAGCTATCGAAGGTTACTTATATACGGTTAAAATGTACGGCGGTTTCTACAGCTTATAAATATTTCATTTTATCAAATCGTAGTTCATACAAAATCCAAATTCAAAGTAAGCCTTTAATAAATAGGTATTCGCTTTTCAGGATATTTATTGTCGTTTTTTTTTATAAACTTCTAAAATGTTAAATTAAATTATCTAAATATTCTAAAATAAATATTGTTATTACTAAAATAAATAAATAAAAAAAAATCTTAGTTTGGAAACATATAAAGCACTTAGTATTAGTAGATTTGTAAGTTTTAAAGCTTATACTTCTTATACAGATCTACATTAATTTACTGAAAAGTGAAAACCTTTTGAGAATATATTGGTAACACATATTGTCAATTAGAATGGTTAAATAACTGCTATCGTAGATAATTGATTAACGTTTGGTGTAGGTTTCTCAGAAATAAGATATTTTCTCGTAGTAAAAAGTATCCTATATGTTGACCCGGAACCAAATTTCATCAAATTCTGTCCAGTAGTTTTTTCGTGATGCGTTCCCAGACAGACAAACAGAAATTCTAAAAACTTTACATTCAGCCTCTGTATGGTTAACGACTATTTCAATAAGATTTTCCAAAAAATATTTAATGTACAGATTCGATTCAGTTAGAATTTTATTATATGTATAGATAAAATCATAGATAACCAGTGTATATAAAAATAGGCAATTTTTCATTTGTCATAGTATTTAAAATGAACCTTACAAGTTACGGCTTACAATTTACACTGTTAGTTAAATAAAAATAATTTTAAAGTAAATAGCAAAACATAAACTAGTTTCTTAAATAAACAACTATACCCAATACCAATACTTAGGTTTTGTTGTTTATGATATATCATTATAAAGATAACAGAAATAAAATGTACATATTTACAGGGAGTAATACAATAAACAGTTAGTTGACTGAACATAAAAATAAATATCATTATCATATTTGTGCTCTTATTATAAACTAGCATTGCCCGCGGCTCCGCCCGCGTTCAGATGACCGAAAGCCAAATTCTTAGGTTTTACATATTAGTATACTCTTACGTTGCAGTTTTTGTATTTTTACTCACAATCAGATATTTTCCCTCGGTAAAAAGTTACCTATATGTTGACTTGGATAACCAGCTATCACCATACCAAATTTCATCAAAATCCCTCCAGTACTTTTTCCGTGATGCGGTAACAGACAGACAGACAAAAATTCTAAAAACTATAGATTTGGCCTCTGTATCGATAATAATGTCTATTTCAATAAGATTTTCAAAAAAATATTTAATGTACAGATTCGGCTTAGTTACAATTTTAT